GAGGGTATCTTCATCACGGTATTCTTCCGGCAAATCAAAGTCAACCTGGGGTATCTCGGGGATCGGGTGACCCCATGCCAGCACCTTCCTGCCTGTACGCCGATGCCGGTGCAGAGCGCTCTCGCGCTCGTACTTCTTGCTAAAGAACGACTTGAACTCCTTGGGAGGTTCTGGGGTTTTTGGAGCCGGAGGTGGCTTCGGTGGTCGTGGAGCTTTGGTCGACGCCGGCTGTGGAGTTGATTTGCGCTTCTTTGAGCCTTTGGCTTTCGATCTCGCCATGGCTTCATCGCGGAGCTGCTTCGCTGGTGACGCCGAGTCGCTCGTGTCGCCGTTTGCACCATCATGGTCATCCGCTTCGTCTTCCTCGTCAGCACTTCCAGAGTCTTCTTCGTCTTCCTTCTCGGCTCGAGCCTTGTCTTTTTCCTGTTTACGCCGCTTTTCCTCCAAAACCCAGTTTCGGAACTTGGCAAGGATGGCTTGGCAGCCCTTGATGAAGTGGTCTCGGGCTGGCTCAAAAGTCTTCTTCTTGGTTTCCGTGACACCACTAACACCCATCACCCTCAGCCAGTCATGACCCTGGAGGCCTTCCAGCAGCCTGATGATTTGGTCCTTTTCATGCTGGGCTCGGCCCTTCTCGGTATTGCGAATAGATCGCTCCAATCTCTCAGCTCGGCGGTGCACCGGCTGGAAAAGCTTATCAGGTAAAGGATCCTCAACTGTTTTGTCCTTGGGCTGGACCAGAAAGTTGAGTTCTACGCGCTGCGCATCGAACACGTCGTGGAAGAGGGCATCGCCATATCCTCGCACGGGATATTCGTCAGCGGGGTGGGGTTGCTGCGGTGCTGCGCGTTGGGCGCCAGAAACAGCGCGTCGTGGGTCAGAATCGACGACAACGATGGGGGTATCAACGTTGAAAAGGTCTGATGCGGGTTAGAAATCATTCGAGGTTGAAGATGGCGCTCAGGAGAGCGATGGGATTTTTTTTCGCACGTACGTTGTTCTTTGGGTTCATTCCCAATCACTTCATCGTACTCGGGAAAGTATGCAGAGAGTTCACTTTTGAACCTCGTGGCTTCTTGGGAACGGAGCTTGCGGCCCTGTTCTTGGGGGTTTGTATCCTTTGCCTGGGGCTGTAGGCGGTCGAGCTCATGTTTAATGCCGTTGATTACTTTGCTCTGGTGTTTTGTAAGGGTCGGCTCCTGCTTTGGAGCGGGTTTCGCGACTTCGGTCGAGGGAGGAGGGTTGGTCGCGGGCGTTGTCGTCGCACTCGCCACCGTGGGCGTCGCAGTTTGTCGCGGGTTGCGCGCGGGCGGCGGGACTATGTTGTCGGGGATGATATCGGACAATCCGTGAGAGCCCTTGGCCAAAATCTCGACGGTTATTCGGGTTCTCTTGGGTTTGAGGGCATCACGGTCGCGATCGTGGGCGTCGAGCACCCTCTTGCTTCGCCCTCCACCTCCGCCAGCGCCGCCCTGTGTGTGGGCAAATACGCTTGTGGAAGGCGTCAGGTGATGGTGCGCGAGATGCTGATGCGGGTGAGGACCCTCAGCGCGCCGCGAGGAACGGGTGACAGAGGCCATTGGGAGACGTCAAGAGGCCTGGCATGGTTTCTCTGCTGGCTTCTCTGGCTCCGACGACTCTGTCTCGCGATGGGAGCCGCTAGATGTTGATGTTTTTTTCGACGGGTTTGGCTTGGGGCTGCGCGCGGCTTCGTGCGACTGACGGCTGCAGTTGCGCTCAGGTCAGTTTGCTTGCAGTCAAGTCGGGGTACCCGCGCCTGCACTGTGGGTTTTCTGCTGGTGTTTGTATGGCGCGCCCTCGTGCAGCTCCAGGGGCAGGTACCTGCTGAGGCTGCTGAAGGGCAGTGGTGCTAGCGGGTTTCGCAGGGCAGGTGCTCGCTGAGGCCGCTGCAGGTGTACCCGCTGCCTCTAGGCTGCCACTGAAGACGGGACACGAGACGCTGCTTCCTCCCCATCCATCGCGTTTCTGAACCGTCGCCTGGTCCGTGTAAAGAAGCATATTGGTAAGCACGAAGCTGACGTCCGATATGCGGCCGACAAGACAACAATTGGGACAATGAAGGGTTTTCTATCCATATCCAAATTGGCGTCGCGGGTCCTTCAGGGCTACCCGTTCTGTGATAAAAACAAAAAGTCTAATGTAAGGCATTTTTGTGACTAGGTACAATCGTTGCCCAGAGTTAACGAATAGCAACTGGGAACATTCGATCGCAACTTGAACCAGCCGCCTTATGCTGCGAATGCTTCTTCTTCCTTAACTTAAGAATATTTATCAAATTATCTGTTGGAAGAACCGGCCTCGCTGGGAGTTGAGTCAAAGTAATTATGCATGTTAAGCAAGTCTGAATGAAAGATCGATCCAAGTCCAGTATTGCTACAGGGTAGGCATCTGACCTTTGGAATGTTGCAACATGGACATTGTTGGAGATAATATTGACTGACACTGGGCCTCAGCTATTAAATATTCACTTTTTTCGTCAGAACATTGATTTCTACTGGCTCAACTTTGTATAATGTTGTAGGAGATCTATGGGTGCTGAAGTAATTCGACGCGGCATAAAGTGGTAAGTTAGATATGAGCTCCGAGACAACAGGAAAATAGGTCCAAAGCTTGGTGTATTAAATATCTTGGGGGCCGTAAATCATGACTGGAATGCTCCAACTGCCAGGGGTATTATAAAAGAAACAAGACAGCCACAGCCCCTCAGAGTTCCCATCCCTCCTCGTCTCAGATTACGTTAACCTCTCGGCCTCCTCCTTTTGCTCCCGCTTCGCGGCTTGCTTCTCCTCCTTTGTCGGCTTGATACCTAGTTTCTTGAGCACCTTCTTCACCGGCCTGCCCTCCTGCTTCTCCGCCTCTTCCCTCTCTAGCACCTCACGCTCTCGGGCCGCGCTCTCGCTCTTGTCCCTGGCCTCGTCTTCCCGGCGCGCCGCCTCCTCGGGGTCCAGGATCTTGTCCCGCCGGTGTCCTACCCGCTGCGCGAGGTCCTTTCCCTTGCGCCGCGTCTTGATGTACGTCTCCAGCCCAATCAACACAACGTACGACTTGGAGATGGAGACGTGCGTCATGTCCACACCCGACTGCCGTAGGCTGTGCACAAAGGCGCGGAAGTTGGATGCTGGTGGGCGATAGTGTCCGCTTAGGGGGGACAGGGATGACAGGCGACCGTTCTTGATCTTGATGAGGCCCGCGGCTGAGATGCGGCTGCCTTGAAAGAAGGACGAGTGCTGAAAGGCGCCCGAGTTTTTGATGCCCACATAGAGTCGGAAGGATGTGTCTGCGACAAAGATCCAAGTGTTCTTCTTGACCGACTTGCGGAGGAGCTTGTTGAAGATGGTCGAGGCTGATATGTGCGTTACCTTTTGAAGCCCCTGACTCTCATCGAAACCAGGCGTCGCGTACTTGGCGGCCCGGTCTGCCTCTCGCCGCGACTTGAGTGAGGAACAAGAGCTGCTGCTGTCGTCGTCTAGCGAATTCCTATCCTCGGGCTGGGCTGTTGGGTTGAAGGGCGGCGTTGGATCGTCTAAGGGCACTACGCCGTTGATGCTGTCCTTGTACTGCTCAGACGTATCTATGCGCTGACCGTTCTTTGCCCAACATAACCTTCCTTGGTCGTCTACCTCGACGAGGTAGTATTGGCGCTCCTCCTTGGAGAGGTAGCGGACTTGCTCTCGTTCAAGTCGGTCTCGCGGACAGCCCTCTAGTTCGACCTCACGGCCCTCGCCGTAGTCGAGCCAGTAGAAGAAGTTTTCCGTTGTGTTGGATCGCTTCCATTCTTCGTGGTACATGCAGAGACTACTTCCGTAGCGATGCTTGAGATCGACCATCTCGAGAAAGTATCGTAGACCCATCATGCGCGCCTCGTTCTTGCGAGCTTCATTATCCTTTTCACGTTGCGCTCGGGCGGCTGCTCGTTCTTCGGGGGATGCATCCTCGTCCGACGATGACTGCGTTGACGAGGAATCTGACAGCAAATTGTCAAAGCCAGCCCGCCGCGCGACTGTGCTCGCCTTCTTCCACTTTTGTCTCGCCGATGCTGATCGCCGTTTCTCCAAGCCATCGGGTCCCAAACCGTCGGGATCTGCGCCGTCTGCTTCTGTCCTCGCCCGTGGCTGCGTCGCCTGTCGAAATTGTGCCTCGCGTATCGCAGTGACCCAACGGGTGCTGGAGTCTAGGCCAAATCCCTCCATCTCCCTCCTTGTGCGATATCCTCGAAACGTCTTTTGGATCATGCGCGCGGCCTGAGCCCTCTCGTCCTGGCTGCCGTTGGTCGACATGGTTGCTATGCGCAACTCGAGCGATTGGCGCTTGCGTTGGTGATCTTTGCGCTTGATGTCCTCCTCGCGCTCCTTCTGAACGGATGCGATGCGCTCAAAGGATTCCGGCGAAGGAGGCCGTAGAGAGTCCATGTAGTCTGTCTTATTCATTGGTCGCGATGACGTAGGTAGGTAGGTTGAGCAGGTAGTTTGGGGATGGATGGCGGGGTAGTAGAGAAGGGAACCAAGGAATTGATCTCTTCCTTGAAACTAATGTTGAAGCGAGCCTTAACAACCAGGCAATTTCTTGGCATGATGATAATATGTGGACTGTGTTATGAATTGGGTATTGTGACTGATACGGATATCTATCTATTACGTGTTGGCTGGTCTAGACGAGTTTAAAGAGTTGTCATGATCATACAAAGTTGGCGATAGACCTCTCTCAAGATTTCCGGAAACCGTTGTCAAAGAGCCAAACCTTAGAGCCACCCCTTGAGTGTGAACAAGGGGTCTGTGTTTCTATTTTTAAATACATAATTGAGAAAAAACACACATTTTCCCTCTAATTATTCTTCCCAACTTTTTCATGACTATTATAAAAGCGCAGACTCATGAGGACTTGTTTAGAATTCCCATGCATATCATGCTGTCTTACATATACGCCAAATCTAAGCTGATGCGCAATATCTACTCCATAGATCAACCCCATTCTATGTCTACCTAAATAGAAATCTCGTTTAGTCGCATCAGAACCTTTCCAACAAACTTGACTCCTATCAAGATCCCATCGTCATCCCGCATATCGCTCTCCTCCCCAAAGTCCTCATTGTCATCGTCCAAACAGCACAGACACGTGACGACAACTGCCGTGTACCTATCGCCCATCTTCATCGGCAGCCTAGACTCTGCAAGCTTCACAAGATGATCCTTAATGAAGGGAGACGGCTCGCCGGTCTCTTGTATCTTGCCAAAATCCTCCATCGTCAAGCCCAAGGCCTCACCTGGAACCGTCTCGCCGCCGTGCTGTACAAAACTCGCCCAGAGACCAATCTCTAGCAAACACACCCCAAGACTGTACACATCATGCTGCATGATATACTTGTCGTGGGCACGAAGGCCTTGACGTCCAGGGTGTCGATAGAGGTTACCGTCCCAGGTGATGTCACCCTCGAATAGAGTCTGGAAGTTGATGCTGCGAAAGGAGTCAAAGCCGAGTAGATAGACCGATCCCAGAGATGTGTCGGATTCGTTTTTAGGAAATAGTAGAACGTTTTCGGGTCGAATGTTCTTGTGGACAAAGTGGTAGGCGTGAACGTAACTGACTGCTCTCGCGAGACGCCTTGATAAATCGAGTGCTTCAGTGAGGCTGAAGGCCTGGGGTTGCATGAGGCGTTCTCTCAAGGTAACCGGTGTAGCATCTTTTTGGGGCATCTGAAAGACCAAATCTAGCGAATTGATCTTTCGCTGACCCGGGCCTCTTCTCTTGACGAGTCCATAGCAAGCTAGAAGACCACAGTCATCTGAATTGATCTGGTGCAGCTTCCTGGCCAAGTCTTCAGAGTCTGCTCTGACGCTGGCGATATCCATGTTGGAGTCACATGGGATCGAGTTGACGAGGTATCGCTTTTGAGAGCCGATTCGCTCGATGATCTGGGTCGACGAAAATGATACTGACTCGGCTTGGCTCCAGTTCAGTTTTTCCTGAGACAAAGTAACATGGACCTGATCGAGTTCCCCGTTAACAATTCTGCGGAAAGCGTGTGCCTCCCCTAGAGTCTCTCGAGAGGCTTGGGCAGCGATGGATTCCCCAACCGGCCCGGTACGTGACGAAGCTTCTAGTTCAGTTTGCAGCTTTGCATCTATGATGATGTTATGGGTGCGAAAGACGAGTAGCCAAGTTGGATCAAAGATCCTCTGCCAACGCTCAAGCTGTTCGACAACCTCCTTGATACTGCTCTTGACAATGACCAGCTTAACCTTCTTGATACCCTTTTCAGAGATGACCGACTCTAGCTTGCCGACGGCGATGTATAGCTTGTCCTTGAGCATCTCATAGAGCTCAAACTGGATCCTGCGCTGGTCATGGCTGAGTTTGCTTTCGACTTGTTTCAGAAACTCGACTTGCGTATCTGCACGGCTGAGGATGGCCTCGACCAGCAGGATACTCTCCTTTACATAGTCATCAGCGCTGTTGTAATCCTTATACAACTTGATCAACCTCTTGCCGTACCTGGTGGCTGTTAACGCTGAATTACCAGTTCTGGCGACTACTTACTGAAGAACCAAGTCTGCCGCAGCAAATGAAGCCAATCCTAACTCCACGCCACTCATTGTGACGACACAACGTCGGTGTGATGATACACCGAGATGTCAGTTCTTAAAGAGATATGGAAGAGCTAAAACCTAAGAGTTAAGAGATGGAGGGCAAACAAGGCTCGGGACTCGAAATCGGCAGGGGTATATGCATAAGCCTCAGCCTCAGCTTCACTGCACCCACTGAACTGCCTCGCCGCCCTCTTCTTGTCTCTCTTCCTACCAAGGAAGGCTGGTTCGGTCTTCGACCAGATGACCCGACGACTGAATCCCGAGTAACCTGTACGCGAGCGCAAACTTCGTCGAAAGCCACCAAAAAAATCGGAGGCATTCATATCATATTCAAGGGCTAAGACCCAACCCCCGCAGGGCGGAATGCCTCATCGAGGAACCCCGCCTAGTTACCTTGAAATCGGCCTGAACCCGGAGCGAGGATGCCCGACAACGAGATAACGCTGGTTGATCTTGTGCGCGACTCGAAAATCGAAACACGGCCTCTAGACTCCCATGTCGTCGAACATGTACTATACGAGACGGGCCGGTCCGCGCGACGCCGACGAATTCCAAGGACAGAGCGATGGATTAAAGGCAGGCAGCTAGGCCAGGGCACCTTTGGGACGGTGCACCTCCAGACATGCGAAGATGGCGGCGGAAACAGATTCAGGGCTGTCAAGGAGGTGAAGAAGTTTGTCGTTGTAGGACAGGAGCTGGACTATACCCGGGAGCTCGAGGCCATCATGAAGTTCTCGAATGACAAGGTTGATGCCCTTTTCATAGGCAGCGACCCATTGCTAATCTCAATAGTATAACCATTGTTTTGTGAGTTCCCAAGGTTGGTATGAGCTTGAAGACGCCATATGTATCACCATGGAATACTTTGAGCTCGGAGACCTCCAGCAGTACATCGACACCCCTCTAAAAGAATCCGAAGGGAGAGAAATCACAGATCAGATCCTCGAAGGATTGGCGTTTATGCACGAAAATGGGTTCATCCACCGTGATCTGAAACCTGCCGTAAGAACGCCCAGCCCCGTGTGTTGATGATATAACTGACCAAGATAGAACATTATGGTGGTCGACAAGAGCCCGGAGTGGTTCGTCAAGATTGCGGACTTTGGCATCAGCAAACGACGGCATCACGATACCTCGCTTCTCACGATGCAGCGTGGGACACTTGGTTTCGCAGCACCCGAGGTTATTGGATCAACCTCAGACCAATCATACACATACTCAGCCGACATGTGGTCGTTGGGCGCCATGGTGTATCGCATTCTCACAAGCAAGATGGCATTCGATTCCATAGGAGACCTGTTCAAGTATGTTCGCGACGAGATCGAATTTCCGGTTGGTCCGTTCGAATTGTGCAACATCTCTCAAAGGAGCCAAGACTTTGTTCTCATGCTCATGGAACCGTGTCCTGGGTCTCGAGGCTCCGCAGCCTCAGCTAGGAACCATCATTGGTTGATTGAACCTCTTGCTCCCACCAATGGAGAAGACTTGTAAGTCCTGACTCAAAATTGAGATGGATACATGCTAATGATGGATAGCTATCGGCTTGAGGCTGATAACACCGAGATGGTTAGGAATACAGACCTATCCGTGCCCTCAAAGGCTTGGAGTAGCGATGAAGAACCCAGCCTCTTTCCATCTCGCAAAGTCAAGGCATCACTTAACACTTTATTCTCGGCTCGGTATCCTGCATTACAGCCTACCTCAATAGACCCAACCATGAGTCCCTCGCAGGAGAAAGGGCACTCCTCAAACGCCCTTCCCCCTGAGCCCGACTCTACAGTAAAGCCTGAGATCATGAATGGTTCAGACACTCGCTCTAAGGGGCCAGCAAACAACAAACCAGCACGCTCTTCCTTGAAGTCTTATCCCTCTTTTGAGAGACCGGCCTGGCGGTCAAGCCATTACACGGACGAAGATGAATACTCAGAATCGGATGTATACACAGATGACGAGAACTCGGTTTCTAGCATCTATCCCAGCTCCTCCGCATCCATACCGGCAAATCATCAGTCAAAGTCAAGATAAAGGCGTGCCATGACTAGATTGTAAGCACTTCCTGGCGATCATAGTCACCTACGTATTGACGTCCAAGTAGGAATATCTGCAGGTTGTGCAAACTGGAACCACATCCCGACTTGATCGAGTCTACCCCTCGCAAAGCTCTCTCCTGTGGTCACTTCGTGTGTGATTCATGCCTTTTTCAACAAATTTGCGCGGTATTCATTTGGCCAGACCTCAAAGCTATTTTTTGCTGCGGGAGCCTTATTATCGATGAGAATCTCCTCCGACGCCTCACCACTGACCCGACTGTTCGTTCTCGCTGGCAAGGTTACTGGTCTCTTGCTGGATCTCTAAGCTGGAGATGCCCAGAAGGACATTTGAATTCTCAAAAGCCAGTTATAAAACACGAGTCTGGGATCCTCATATGGCGAGAGTTGATGATCTGTGTCCACTGCTCTCCTATAATACAAGACCCGACCTACTGCGTGTTTTGCTCGGGGAAGGTGAGGGGCTATAGGTGTAGTACGTGTGCCCATGAGGTGATTGTCTGGCCATTCATATTACGCCTGAAATCTAACGGTATCTTCTCTATCCCCTGGATACGCGAAGCCATCGATCACGTTTTGAGTGTCGGGCGTACCGGCTGGCGTGCCCCGGTGAGGGAGAGCAATTTACGGATAGTGGAAAGGGCGACGAGCACCGCCAACCAGAGGTTAAGAAGACCAAAACAGAACACGGAGTTCAACAAGAATCTTCCGTCATGGGAGTTCCTAGACTCGGGGCTAGTCGGCTCTGGATCTTCGCGGGGCTATGTTAGAGCGGGAGGTGCTCTTTCTTATTCACAAATGCAGGAGGTCCGGAACAATCAGGCCCAGGGTATACAGTACTCACCGATGCCTGAGCACTCTGAAGGTAACATTGAGGCCCCTGGGGCATATCAAAGGCCTCCAAGACACGACCCTCTGGGCGAGCCTATCCCCAATACCTGCTCCCGCTGCGGCAGGCTGGGCTTTGAGATTTTATCGGCTGCTCCTACAGTTGTTAGATGGTGAGTCTATTCACAACCGAATTTTACCTTTACTGACCAAAACAAGTTGGACCTGCGCCGCCGAAACCTGCCTTGCATGTGGCAAATCCGATGCTTTCTGGGTTAACTGCCGCTGTCGTGCTGCAGTGACCATGCCAGGCCCTTCATCGAGAGACAGAATCACGCCAACAATGCCCAGGAATCCATCCGAGGACAAAACATTTTACGCATATTCAAGACCCAGGCAACGCGACCCCTATTATAACTGAAAGGTCAACCTGTCATTGATTCGTCGGACAGTTGCCATCTTTTCGTCTGGCATGTCCAGCACCTGAAGATGTTGGGCAGAGAAGACCATGCCCCTATTCACAAAGGCAAGCTGCCAGGAGAGCACATGCAAGAGAAAACTGCGTCTCTAGATCCCTATAAGTTGAACCAACAATATTGAGGTACCTGAAGCCCTTTGCGCACTATATATCTCAGAAGTTTGAATTGACTAACGCTGCTCGCTAGTAAAGACACATATTCGTACTGTATACCTTAGCATATGGATGAAATAAATATTTAGAAAGAAATGCACGGGAATTTATTTTTACCCTTTCTGGCCTGTTAATTACCTACCTACTTCTACCCATGTTTCTATACCACGACATAAGAACAAAGGTGCGTCAAAGAGCCAAGTTAACCAGGCATGAGATACCCGCTTCTTTGATCCGGTGCGGCCATAACAGCTGGTATATGGTTTAGTGCCAGTCAGGTAGTGTTTGGTTCTTTGTTCTGTACTTCGCTCAAGTGTGCCTATGCCCATAACATCAACTTCTTCTAAACTCTTTGTCTGCTTCATTTATATTTAATCAACTCTAGACCTGATGGAACAAGAGAGGGATACAAGTGAAATCCAAAAACCAAGATGCCCCCCAAAAGAAAGCACGTCAACTTGAAAAAGCCTCCTGTCAAGGTTGGTAAGACCTCTCTAACCTCAACTCCCGGCTCCTCGACTCGTCAAAGCGACTACTCAGGGCTTTCGGAAGCTAGCAGCGATTCCGATGGCGACGACGTAAGAGAATCTCAAAAGAAAAAGGAAGAAGAACTCAAGAGAGAAGGAGAAAAGTTTGTCAACACATGGGCTGTATCCAGCAACAACTCTCAGCAGAAAAAGGTCGGCCAAAAAGGTACACTATCACGCCTGTTTGGGGAGCGAGACTTTTCCTATCTCACCCTCAAGCCGGATCACAAGAACCGTCCCATGTGGATAGACCCCGAAAAGGGGGTCATCATAATGGAAAAGTTCAGTCCAATGGCACGCCCAGCAACTGACTTTCTCATCACCATCGCCGAGCCCAGATCAAGGCCGGCGTTTCTTCACGAATACATCATGACGCCCCATAGTCTGTATGCGGCTGTGTCTGTTGGCCTGAGCCCTGAAGACATCATCGGCACTCTCGATCGCTTCCTCAAGACCCAGTTGCCTCCCAGTATCAAACAGTTTGTTCTGTCATGTACTACTAGCTACGGCAAGGTCAAGTTGGTGTTGAAGAATAACCGTTATTTTGTCGAGAGTATGGATCGCGAAATTCTTCAGATGCTGCTCAAAGACAAGGTCATCAGGAAGTTTCGACTACGCGGCTCAGGCAAGATTACCACCACAGCTGCACCTATGATGGGCGAGATCATCATCCCTGGCACCAAGGACGCAGCTGGCGTCCAGGAGGCCAACCTCTCCCATAAGACGGCGAAGCAACCCACAGAGACGAACTTGAGTGCAGATGTTTACGCTGCGCTGAACGAGGACGACGGTGATGAGAAAGAAACTGCCTACAGCTTTGAGATCCCGGATGCAGCTGTCGAGGTGGTGCAAAAGCGCTGTCTGGACCTATCTTATCCCATCCTTGAAGAGTACGACTTTCGCTTCGACCGGGCCAACCCAAACCTCAAGATCGATCTTCGACCCAATACACAGATCCGGCCGTATCAAGAAAAGAGCCTCAGCAAGATGTTTGGCAACGGCCGAGCCAAGAGCGGGATCATCGTCCTGCCATGCGGTGCAGGGAAAACCCTGGTCGGCATCACAGCTGCGTGTACCATCAAGAAGAGCGTTATTGTGCTCTGTACGAGCTCAGTCTCTGCGGTTCAGTGGCGCAACGAGTTTCTAAAGTGGTCAAACATCAACCCAGCTAGCATCACCACCTTTACCGCAGAGAGCAAGACTATCTTTAGGGGCAGAGCTGGTATCATTGTTACGACGTATTCTATGGTCACCAACAGCCGCGAGCGTTCTAGAGAGTCGAAAGAGGTCATGAACTTCCTGGCAGGCCGGGAATGGGGTCTCATGCTCCTTGATGAGGTCCACGTTGTGCCTGCTAATATCTTTAGACAGGTCATCTCGAGCATCAAGTCGCATTCCAAGCTTGGCCTGACGGCGACTTTGCTTCGCGAAGATGATAAGATCTCGCACCTTAACTTCCTGATCGGCCCCAAATTATATGAAGCAAACTGGATGGAGCTATCTCAGCAAGGTCACATCGCCAAGGTCCAGTGTGCTGAAGTTTGGTGTCCGATGCCAGTCGAGTTCTATGAGACATACCTCAAGGTGTCTATCCGGATGAAGCGAACTTTAGGGGCCGTGAATCCATTCAAATTCCAGGCCTGTCAGTATCTCATCAATTATCACGAGTCACGCGGCGATAAGATCATTGTCTTCTCTGATGACCTCTACTCGCTCAAGCTCTATGCTGTCAAGCTCGGCAAGGCATTCATCTATGGCGAGACGTCACAAGAGGAGCGGATGATGATTCTAGAGAATTTCCAACGAAATCCTCTTATCAACACGCTGTTTCTCTCCAAAATTGGCGACACATCTCTGGATCTCCCGGAAGCGACCTGCCTGATACAAATCTCATCACACTTTGGATCCCGGCGTCAGGAGGCTCAAAGGCTTGGTCGCATCTTGCGGGCAAAGCGCCGTAACGATGAAGGTTTCAATGCCTTCTTTTACACCCTCGTCTCCAAGGATACGCAAGAGATGTTCTACTCGTCCAAACGGCAGGCCTTTCTCGTGGATCAGGGCTACGCATTCAAGGTGATTACCCAACTCGACGGTATGCACAGTCTTCCGGATCTCGCCTTTTCTAAGGCCTCTGAGCGTCAAGAGCTACTGAAGCGCACACTCATAGACAATGAAAAGGCTATTAGCGAGGAGGGTGAGACAGACTATCTGTTCGGGGAGGGGAAGAGCAAATCTGGTCAGAAAAAGGCTGCCAAGGTGAAGTCAAAACGGAATCCATTCTTTCGAAAGCTTGACCGAGAGAGGGACCGCCGCCGGAAGAAGGCCGCCCAGTGAACTCGGCTTGTCGATGAGTGATGAAGAAGCATTAGAGTACGATATAGGCGTTGGGGATTAGGGCACTCGGGAGAAATCTCCTTCTCATAGGTATCTGTATTTACGGGAGTTAAGGTAGCAATGTATCTTGCCGTAACTTATTTCATGCTGAGGAGACCGGTGCTAAGCTGGTTGGCCTTATTCAAGTGGAAGATTCAACGCATTACACAGTACCACATAAAAGAAGATATTACCAGATAGTTTGTATACTAGATAGCAGCTTGGCCTTGGATGTATGTTGCTCGCGACGAACTGAGACATGGGTTCTCGGCCGGCCTTCAAGTCGACACAGTACTCGAGACGAAGTCGCAGGATCAACATGGAAACTACACAGAGAAAGGCGTTGAAACTTTGAAAATGCGCACTGTGAATACTGTTCAGTAGACGACGAACTCAAATCCTTAGACAAGGGATATCAATCTTGGCCTGGTCTTAGGGAGTTGCTTGGGGCAGCCTTAGGATGATGGAAGTATCGAAGCCGATATGCACATGTACCTGACGATAACATGCCAGAATTCTGTCTCGTTCTTGCCCTCATTAATCGGCAATAGTACCTAGTCCTGGCTGTTGTTACGGCCTCAGCAGAACATGGCTCAATATGGCCTCGGCGAGGAGGACCAAAGTGTTCACCAGAGAGGAGGACATGTCACCAAGGTACAAGCCATGAGGCCACAAATATATGTCATCCATGGCATTATCATTAATATTGATCTCTGCTGCATATTCACGTGTGACAGAAATTGCGCCGTTTATACAAAGAGGCCTCCGATATCCCCGAGACCAGCCGGAGGGTAATACATGTCCAGTGAAGAAGAAGAAGAAATATCGATGTCAAGACGCTATGCGAAGAGGAACTCCTTGAGCACTGGCGAGCCAGAGAACTCTGGGTTCAACAATATACAGCTGTGAAAACATGTCAGTATCAACTGTAGAGTAAGAGCGTGATACAGAAGACGCACTTGAGAAAGTATTGAAGACCTGCCCGCCTCTTTTCGAGGAATCGGGGCCGGAATTTGGAGATGACGCTCTTGGGCGGAAGAGCCGGAACTGCCGCCTCGAAGCCGGGAAAGGTCTGGACCAGTCGGTACCGAAAGTCGTCAAACTCGGAATATCGCTTTCGAATGTTCATGTAGCTCCCCTACTCGTTGAGTTAGCCTGGCTGGTATTAAAAAGTCTGAAGGTCAAAACCCACATTCAGCGTCTCGACACGAATGTTCCACACTACAAAGGCACCAATGTTTGTGGCACTCCCGTTGACGACAGTGTAGCTGACAATCTCGACGCTTTTCGCCCAGCAAGCATTGTTGCGGTCGTCGTGCTCGTTCGCCTCGTTGTCGCGGAGGCTGATGGCGCCCGCGGGCAGGACTGACTCGGCCGACATGTTGGAGGCGGAACGCTGATGGCCATGCACATTGAGCCAGTACGGCGGCGAGGTGATGGAGCTCGGCGAGACAGTCGAGGCTGCGGCATCATTGTCGTCGAGGGGTCGGTCGTGGTCGAATGAGGTCCGCGGTGTCTCAAACACCTCGATGGACGTGCCGCGTGTCTCGGAGTGCTCTGCGCCAGCGCCGAAGCCGCCATCAGCAGGCGCCTGATCTACCGCCGTCGCCATTCATTCAACCATGCGACAGCCGAGAGCGTTTCAGAATATGAGCAGTCGATGCGTTGGCGATGACGATCTCGGGGTCATGTATCTCTCGGTCGATCGGGATGTTGTGTTTCGCGCAAGATGGGGTAATCGCCAGTCGCTTAGGTTCAATCGGATAATGAATGACCTGATAGAGTGCTTCGTTGGCGAGTCAGGGCAACAGTCGATTGCAGCCCTGGTTTAGTAATTCGTCGCGAGGTGGGATTGGGCTTCACCGGGGTGGCTTGTGACGATCTAGTAGAGCGCAAGCAACAACAACAGAAGGGGGATCAATATCACTAGCAAACAAAACAAAGGCAGCCAGTACAAGGCGATGCCCCGGAAAACTGCTTATTGTGGCGGATGTCTGATTTTGACGTGATGTTGCAAGGACTCGGAGCCTCAAACGTTGTCGGGCGCGGAAGCTTGTCTGTTTCCGGCCGAAAGAGGGGCCGCCGACCCGGGAGCATGGGAGGTACATCGGGCTGGTAACCGCCAACAACGGCGGGCAACTGCCGGTGTTCTAATCAGTATCCGGCAGGGCTTATGCCGAAGCCCGTTTCTTCAGGTGTTTGCTTTCCCTGGTATCTTCAGGTTTGAGAACCAAGATGCGGTGATTAGTGCTGATTTGAGTCCTCGCCGGAGTCCCCCCCCCCCATATGTTTCTCGAAAGCTGATATTCATGAGCCTTGACGACTCTTTGTCTGTCTTTAAATCACCAAGCCCCCCGTCCTCCACACCCACCTTGCATCTCGTCCCCGGGCCGTGTCTCACAGCCCTCCGAGTCAGCTCCGTTCCGTCCTCGACCGAACAGACTCTGGCCCCCGGAGCTTCAGAGCTTCAAGCTCTCTTGTAGGCAATGAGCTAGGTAAGCTTATTCCAAGCCCTAAGTGGCGTGTGGCTCGAGGCGGATGATGCACGGTGCTAGAGGCGGTCAACCCGCTCATCCTGGCCGTAATCATCTCCAGGATTCATGTGAGAAGGCAGCCGAGAGGTCGTGGTCTGACAGAAGTACACATCGGCTTGTGGATCTGCCCATGGATGGTTTACGCCGTCAATGTCCTAAAGCCACCGACTGTTTTTTGCCCGTCTCATCTGTCGTGTCCCGTCAACATGCCGTCACTGCGAAAACTGAAAGGAAGACGATCTTGAGCCCGTCAGCAATAGATGCAAGTTGGGCTTGAGCATGTTGGGTCTCTCCGCTCCGCCTCCTGGGGCCGTTGGCACTACGTTATATCCCCAGACGAAGCTATCCCTGTAATAGTGGTGCTTCTAGACCTCGAAGACTGGAGACGTGCGAGCCTGTCACCTCCACCAACCTGAAGCCAGCCCCCGACTGGCTCCTGTCTCGGGCAACGCCTTCTAGGCTCGACTCACGGGCTTCAAGTAATATTGTGTGGTATCACAGAGATTTGTGCGGCATGCTACATCTCTCGTGGGCTTGCATATCCCGCTCAGCCAGCCGACATCTGCCTGTATGCAAGTTCCAGCCATTCCTCAGTGGCCGCGTCAGCGTAGTTGACCCGTCCGATGCTGTGCCGTCTGCAATGAGTTTAGACAGGAAGTTACAGGTCACCAGCGCCGCTTCATCATCATGTTCTCGTCGTTGTGCATCACGCGCGGGGTCGAGCAGTCTCGTAAATATCCACAAGAAATGGTCCGAAACTACGGAGACACTGACCATCATCGCCTATCGCGTATGCAAGAAATACGAGCGGCACTTCGGCTCTAATCCATAAGCTAGGCGCATAGTCAGAGTTGCCTGTTTGGGGAAGAATTGGCCACCATTCTCGCATTCGAGTGGCCCGCCGCTATCGCCCGAGAACTCTCGAGGTGGTGGGCTCGTAAACATTCATGGCGTGCACAGCACAACCAACTGGAGGCGCCGTACGCGGGAGACACAAGTCAGTGGTGATGCACAATGAGAGAAAGGGTCAAAACAAAGTGCAGCAAGTGGGCTCATATCGCTTCAATCCCCCATGTGGAGCCTGCTTCTCGTCGGCCGTCGGCGCCACCAACCAGGCGTGAGACATGTGGTTGAGGATGAGAGGTGAGGATTGGAAGCCCAGGGGCCTCGCTGGCACTGACACTGACTGACAAGCGAGACAACTGATATTGAAACGTCAACTGTAGGAAGGGACAGTGACCTCGAATGAGGAACATGTCGATTGGGATTGTCATCAATAAAACAGTCCGGGCTGGCAGCTTAATATTAAAGTCAAGGCGAGAGGGCCCCCCTATTCCATCATGAGCAAGAAATAAGGGTTCTGGAGATTACATGCAAATGGACAAAACTAACAAACTGCACCACTGCAAGCCTCCCAAGCCTCCCCAGACCACAAACCGCCCAAGCAGAAGCTTCAAGCACGGGAATCCCTGTCGGGGCTAGCCCGACAATGGCCTGGGCCGTGAGGATCCCGGGCATTCCTGACCACCAGGCTGCGCCGAGTGGCGGGCATGGCTCCTGGGATAGGTGGGAGCTAAGCCCAATACTGCTGCTCTGGTGCTGAGGTCCCCTGCTCGCCTCTTGCTCCGGAGGAATACTGGTGCTACTTTGCAGGTCACAACCACCTGGGCGGTGGTCTGTGGTCGTGATAATCAACCAGCCTCGGGTCTCGCCTCCAATTTGGCTCATTTCTCTTGGGCTGTATCGGAGGTAGCTTGTACTATGTAGCATCCCATTAGGTAGGTACCTAGCCTGCCTGCTTGTACCGTAGCCGGCCGTACGGGGCTCCGTCCGTAGGGTTCCATTGCTTTGTCTGATCTTCTCCTCTTCCTCCCTCTCCCTCCCCCGCCTGTCCCGTCTTTCAACATATACACTCGTTGCTGCACACAGAAAAAAAAAAAAGAGTCTTACTCTTGCCTTTCAGTTCCCGACAATCGTTATTTGCTTGTTTCTCAAGCAACTTCTTGATTTTGCTCCTTCTTCTCCAACTCTCGCTCTTCCCCAGTTTCGCAATCTCTCGCTTCCTCGTTTGACCTACCTACCATAATTGTACGTGAAAATCTGACCCAGCCGAGGCCAAGACAAAGCCTCTTTCCTCTGTTGTCGTGGGGATAGCCTCTTGCATACCTCAACTTCCCAACGGCGCCCCGAGGTTCCCTCAGCTTGGGAAAGGGCGAGTCTTGGTTGCAAATCAAGTTAAAACGGCTGACCCCAAGTTGCAGTAATCCCCGACCTTCTTGTCAATCTTGTCCGTTTACGAGCTTTTTGTTGTTTGGGCTTCAGACACATACTCCATCATCTTCACGACGAATTCTACTACTCAGCACAAATACTCATTCACCATGCCGTCTCTCCGAACGACCGTCTTGGCTGTTGCCGCCTCTTGCGTTGCCGTTGTCAACGCTGACTACTACATCGATCCCGACAGTGTGCCCATCTCCCAGCGACAAGTTTGGTGCCGGACTACCAAGGAGTCATGCCCGCTCATCTGTGAGCAGACCAGTAAGGGTGAGCCCAAGGTGAACAGCTGTGATCCTGTAAGTGTTATTCTTTTCATGCTTGCTCTAGCACGACATGGTCTGACCCAGCCTTCTAGGAAACCCTCACCTACGGCTGCATTTGCAGCGACAACAAGCAACCCAACGTGTCGGAGTACTCCCTGACTATTCCCTACTACGTCTGCCAGGAATGGGGCAACCAGTGCGTTGAGGACTGCAAGGGAAGCAACGCTTGTGCTTCTTCTTGTCGAGAGGACCACCCCTGCGGTGCCAGCAACCCCAAGAAGTACAACACAACCGCGACTGCCACTACTGGCACTGCAGCCGTCAAGGCCACAGCCAGCACAACCGACGATGCCGACACCCTCTTCACTGGCAACCCCGGTGGCGAAGACTCCAACTCGGACAGCTCTACCACCAAGAACGGCTCCTCAGCTCTCGAAGCCGGCCGAACATGGGGTCTGGCGGTCGTGCTGAGCACCATGTTTGTGGGATTCGCGATGCTGTAAGAGGATCGCATTCGCCTTCAACAGGGTGGGGAACAGAACCACTGATGCATTTGGGTGTTTTTGATTCGTTTCGATTCGATTCGCTTGTGTTTGTTTGTTTGTTTGCTCATACATTCCTTGAGAGCCTCGGACGTCTAGGTGTTGGGTTAGCTTCTGGTGGCACGGCATTATTGATTGATTTCATGTTTTTCGACTTGGGACATGGGAAGCGCATGTCCCCTTTAACTAATAGGGATAATGATGGTGGCAGAAAAGAGGGAGAATCAAAGATGGCCAGCTGCAATGTTGCAGTTGAAACCCCAAAGCTTGCGTCTGCGTGACATTTGAGCTCGTGATTGATTACTTGTTTGGTTCAAGACGTTTTCTCGAAGTTGGATGTTGGACACCTCCACATTCCGGACCCTCGGACCGTTGTGGCTTCCGGACGGATTAACCATGTTTGCGAGATGAAGGAAGATTTGCTGATTGATTGCCTGGAGGAGTACTCGTATTCTTTTTGCAAGTGCTCACGCGCTCACAGGACGATTAGCACATGTGAATGACTCCAGATCTGTGCGAGACCCATAGATCCTCGGTCCCCAACAAATCAAGTCGAGAGAGTCTCGTGATGAGTTCGGACGCTGCGGATATCCATGTGAGGGTGTAGGGCTGGCCGCCTTTTGACAGAGAAAAGAGGTCAAAGTGTCGGATCGGCTAGGGATCCGTCAGGCAGGATCAGAAAGGGGCATTGGATCGGATGACGGTCAACGCAGGTCGCGTCTATCGTTGGCTGTCAAATTCGTCTACTCGAGATTGTCTCTGAGATGCTTTAATGAATTGTCCAATTTTAGAGGCATCGTGCCCCTGTAAGCGGAGACCTCCAGTGGGCCGGATCGCTGGCACTGGCAGGGGCATCTGCCTGTGGTCCAGGGGCTCGAATGGCGCGCGGCGCGACATACGAGACCACGAATGCTCCAAGTGGGATGGAAGCTTTTTCAATTTCAAGTGCCTACTGTCCTCCATCTCCAGAGACGAAACCTGCCCCTTTACACTTCCATCTCTTCTTCACACTCCTTCTTCTTGGATAAAACAAAAGATATTCCTTCACGGTTTGTTATCTCTTCACCGTCTTTTGCTCGACCGTTAGACCCCGATCAAGCCATCCCCCGGTCTGTCGCGAATCGAATCTCTTGGCCTGAAACTTGATCTGCCATCCAATCCATTCCCATCCGTTCCTCAACAAAGCCCACCCCCAAGCCATCACGCCTGTCAATTCTTCCACTCAGAGACCTGAGATTTCCGCCCACGTGCAGCGCCGCCTGTCTCTGTTTCGCGCCGCCTGGCTTTCTGCATCACAGAGGTCCTACCGAGGGAGCTATTGCGTACAGTAGCTTCCAAACTCTTGGCTTGACCGGCATATTTTTTTCCAGCGCTGGCTGTTGCTCTCCCGTACCCTTTTAAAGGGGTCCCCCGTTTTTCCGTGCCCCTCCTCCCTCCGGCCCCTCCCTTCCCACCATGTCCGGGAGCGAGACACTACCGCTTTTCAATCCCACGGCCAGCGACCCGACCGGCACCAACATGGCTCCCAACACCAGTAAGTCATGGACAGATTGATGGAATGCTCCTCGAGAGGGAGCATCTCTGGTTGTCTCGAGCTGACCGTTGACATTTTTTTTGCAGAGAAAAACGTCGCTGAGTGCATCTCTGACGATGCTCTTGTCCATCTCAAGACGTACAAGTACTCCAGCGTCGATCTGTCGCCCGTGTCGAAATACATTCTCGGCCCCTTTGTACGTCTCCTCGATGCCCAACAAAGCTTTGTTTCTCCTCTCGACGGCCCTCTGCAGCTTGTCCTCGACTATTGTCCTCGACATTTCATCCGCTGAGGAGTGGTGAAGCTTTCGTCCGCCAACATGATGGAGCTCATGACAGCTAACCCTTGTCTCTTGTCGTCATACAGTGGAACGCCTCCGTGAACCTCCTCCCACTATGGATCGCTCCCAACATGGTCACCCTCTTGGGTTTCTGCTTCATTCTGGGAAATGTCGCGCTGGCCCAGATTTTCATGCCAGACTTGGTTGGACCGGTACGTTGACGCTGCGCGCAAAGTTTGTGGGTAATTTGCTGATTGACGACATGGTCCAGGGTCCCTCATGGATTTACTTCAGCTTCGCCTTCGGTCTCTTCATGTACCAGACTATGGATAACCTTGATGGAAAACAGGCGCGACGAACAGGAACCTCGAGCGGTCTCGGCGAGCTCTTCGACCACGGAATCGATTCCCTCAACTGCACCCTCGCCAGTCTGCTCGAGACTGCCGCCATGGGTCTGGGCACTTCGCCAGCTGGCATCTTCACCGCGCTGTGCCCCTGTCTCCCCATGTTCTTCTCGACCTGGGAGACGTACCACACGCACACCCTGTACCTCGGCGTCATCAACGGTCCCACCGAGGGTATCCTCATCGCTTGCGCCATCATGGTCATGTCTGGTATCTGGGGCCCTCAGATCTGGACTCAGCCTCTGCGACTCGGTCTGAACGGCAGCCTCCCCGGCCTGGCTGACCTTTTGGGCGAGACTACCTTCCGAGACATCTGGATTGGTCTCATCGTCAGCTCGCTCGTCTTCACTCAGATTCCTTTCTGCGTCCTCAATGTCGTCAAGGCCCGCCGAGCCAACGGCCTCCCCGTCCTGTCCGTCTTCCTCGAGTGGATTCCCATGGCCGTCTACACCATCTCGATTGCGGTCTGGGTCTTTTCTCCTTACAGCACCCTCATGAAGAACAACCACCTCGTCCTCTTCTGCTTCACCATGGCGTTCGTCTTTGGCCGCCTCACCACCAAGATGATCCTCGCCCACCTGACGCGCCAGCCCTTTCCCTACTGGACCGTTATGTTGTACCCTCTCGTCGGCGGTGCGATCGTCGGAAACCTTCCCCGAATTGGACTTCCCCAAATTAGCGCCGAGCTGGAACTCTACTACCTGTGGGCCTACCTTGCCTTTTCCATGGTCGTCTATTTCCGCTGGGCCTGGCTCGTGGTGACGAGTATCTGCAACTACCTGGGCATCAACGCTCTCACCATCCCCAAGGAGAAGCAGATTGCCAACAAGCTTGCCCGCGATGCCACCAAGCTGCATTAGACGAGAACGGCGCAGTGAGATGGAGTAGCGCATATATCAAGACATATCCAGCATCAACTTATAGATTCAACATATCTTACCCCGGGAGATGAGCAATGATGAAGGCATCGGCATCACGGTACAGAGGAGGAAAAGCATGACGGGCGTCTGGTGTTTTTTACTTGTTTCTCGCATTCATTCTGGCGCCAGGATACATGAGGCCCTGCACAGCGCCACGGCTATCACGATATATCCATTGTAATAGATTTCAACGAAACCCATGTGGTGTTGGGGGAACAAGGCCTGTTTGGATATGCAGGCGTCTGCGCATTAGACGCAGTCCAAGTAAATAACATGACTACAATTGAGTCGACAATTATATTTACGTTGGAGGGTTCAACACTCACAACTTTAAGTCAATGCGGTCTGTCGAAACAGCAACTCCCTCCCACTCGTTCATCAGTTGAAGTGTGCTCTCACACTTGCTCCTCACAACGTTCAGGCAGTCTTTTCCGAGTACCAATCGAACAGGAACCTCCTTGCCCTCCGCCACGCCTGTCATGGTCAAAACATCGACGACAATCTCGGCCCCGCGATCCACATCTCCTGGTTGGTTGTTATCTGCGGCATCAAGCAGAGCGCGATACTCCTCAGCACCGGTGTTTGCATAAACATCCTCCATTCTCCGCGCCGATTTCTTGCGCTTGTCGGCGTTGAGGAAAGCAGTACGGAACTGGCCAGGCTCGACGGACGTCACGGCGATACCAAACGGCTTGAGCTCGGCGGCAAGCGCCTCTGTGAAGCCTGAGACTGCCCACTTGGTCGCGTTGTAGAAGCTCGTCGCCGGGCTACCAACCCAGCTGCCGAGGGAACCAAAGTTTGCGATTCCGCCGTGGGATTGGGCTCGGAAATAGGGGGTCACGGCGCGGCAGAGCTTGATGGTGCCGAAGACGTTAGTGTTGAACTCGTCAAAAACTTCCTTCTCGCTGCTATGGTTAGCGGTTTGGTTCTATGAGGTGCCACTTACGATGCTTCTTCGCAGGTGCTTTCGAGGACGTAGGCTGCCGAGTTGGCGAGGTAATCGAGTCGGCCATAAGCGCCGTGTGCTTCCTCGACCTTGACGGCGATCTCGTCTTCAGGGACCGTGACGTCGAGGACCATGGTGTGGGCTCCAGCTTCGGCAAGATCGGAGAGGACGGACAGCCGACGAGCCGTTGCCACTACACGATGGCCGCGTTTGAGGGCGGATTGGGCGATGGCTTTACCAAAGCCTGTGCCGGCGCCCGTAATGAGCCAGACAGGAGAGGGTGAGGACATGTTTTTGACGTTATCGGCACAAGGATGAAGAAATTGAAAGTGAGTATAGCTGCGAACAACAATTTGAATTAAGTTGAGCTGCAATCTCAATATCGATCCATCTCATACAGTCTCCCCTCACACTTACACCAATGAGTTGAACCCCATTACAGGCGCTAACCCAATAGGCATCGTAAAGTAAATCAAAGAAACCTGGTCTGCATAAATTATGTAGAACCAGACATTATGAGGCCCTCCAGCGGGCGTTGTCCCGTGTCCATAGGCTCCAGTACATAGTGGTGTTAAGCATGTAGGTGTTGTCCGGGGATGGTATTGGCTGACATGTACGGGAGATGCCAGGATCTCCCCCGCCCTCGAGTCTGTGTAACATATCCTCGTTGGATAGGTAGTCTAGAGGTTTACTCCGGAGGGAGTAGGATGGGAACTTCGGGACATTTTTCAAGGCGGACGACGGGGAGGACGGGGCAGAAATAGACTCGTCGATACACCTGATGCCAGTTGAGAGCCATGGTGTATTAGAGGCAAGTTGAACTTGTATGTGAAAACTTAAATAGTTGAATAAGTCCCAGGCAGTTCTCCAGTGTGGCAGTGAGACTGCACGCCTCAAGTGAGAGTCTCGCTGGGTAGATATAGGCATCATGGCTAACTCACACTCTCCGCCTTAACGATATACCACCTCGCACAGACAACTCTCAGTCGAGTAGCCTATGCAGCGAGAACAATATCAACGATAATGCGGCATACTTGATATTGTTCTTGGACATGCTGCAACATGATTGGAGCCCCAGTGCCTTGCCCACCACTCCGTGCACGGTGCAGAGACGGAAGTCCAGTGGAGGCCAAGGCAAAGCGCTCCTAAGAAACCATGTAAGCATCCATGAATGTCATGATCAAATTTGCAAGGCTATAGAAAAATCAGATAGTTTTATGATAGTTCTATTATCACCTCAGTACACTTTTCTTTCTATTTACTTAGAATAGAGTCATCATAGCTATTTAACAGGACTACTTTTCTAGTCTCTATCTGCATCATCAGCCTCCCATCCATCACCCTCATCAAGGTTGTTGCCATCAGCCAATCGGGCTCTATCGCTCAAGCCCCCTGGACATTCAGATGATGCCCCTGAAAGTTTGTTCTATGCAAGGGTCTCCCCCGCCACAAGCCGAAAGGGGGCTGCGGCGTGGCCCTCCACCGGGCCGATCTGGACATGTTGACAAGAAGTAGTGAGGTACCTGGCATTGGTGAATCGTTGGTTTCATGACAGCGTGAGCCACTGAGTGACCGGACTGTCTACTCTAATTATTGAGGTTAGAAGGTCTGGGGAACACTATCGCGAATTTGAAACCTCCTGTATCTAAAATTATTATCGGGTACCGTGTTTATCCTCGAGGTTAAGGTTACCTCCTCGTGGACACTGACAGGCGTAGGTTTCGTGTCCCCCACTACCTTATCCCTTGAACAAGTTACATCCATGCGAGGCTTCAACTTTTGGACAACGAAGCATTTTGGATAGGTAATAATTCCCTCGCTCCTATACCACTTGCAGCTTCTCAGCCTATCCCACCCGCGCTGGAACTCCCGTCGTTGCCAGATCGGCCTCTGATGCTCCAGGCGGAATGAGCTAAGGTAGTTCCTTCCTGCGCGCGCCCCTCCCACGACAAATGGGAAAACCTGCCATTAGCATGGCCGCATCCTCGACAATGCCCCGAATGCCATCGCCATTCACCACCCTCGTCCTCTGCATCTTCGCCCTCGTCTCGACAACCCTCTTCTCGCCAGCCGCTGCTGCTGGGTCCATGACGCTTTCCGACAATGCCCTCAATAACATTCCATCGCCCGGTGACGATTTCGATATCCACAAGGGCAAGCTGTTGGCCCCGATCTTGATCCCCCGCGTCCCGGGAACCGAGGGCCAGCTGCGCACCCAGAAGCACTTTGTCGACTTCTTCACCGAGAACCTCCCCGAATGGACGCTCGAGTGGCAGAATTCGACATCCAAGACACCCGCCACTGGTAACAAGGACGTGCCCTTTGCGAACCTCATCTTTCGGCGGGATCCGCCATGGGCGCAAAAGGGGGACGTGAGCCGCCTCACCCTGGCTGCGCACTACGACAGCAAGTATGAGCCCGAGGGTTTCATCGGCGCAACAGATAGCGCTGCGCCATGTGCAATGCTGATGCACCTGGCGAGGAGCATTGAAGCTGGGCTCAAGGCAAAGTGGGAGAACATGCAGAAGAACGGCGAGGATGGACTCGATGACGCCCAGGGAATTCAGATTCTGTTTCTGGACGGCGAGGAAGCCTTTCATGAGTGGACAAATGATGATTCCCTCTACGGTTCGAGGTATGAAACAGCACCATCATGACACCGAGTTTTGCTAACACGCATGATAAGATCGCTCGCAGAACAGTGGGAGTTCCAGTTCCACGGCTCTACGTCCACTTACCGAACACCTCTTGACTCAATCAGTCTCTTCGTCCTTCTCGACCTTCTCGGCGAAAAGAACCCTAGAGTCCCCTCGTACTTCCTGACAACACATTGGGCATACCGCGCAATGGCTGCGCTTGAGAAGCGCATGCGAGAGCTGAACCTCCTCGAGACAAAGCCTAAGAGGGCATTCCTCCCCGAGGTGAACAAGGATGCCACTCGCTTCAGCCGCAGCTACATCGATGACGACCACCGGCCGTTTATGCAGCGCGGTGTTGAGATCCTACACATCATCCCGACACCGTTCCCAACCATGTGGCACAAGATGGGCGACGACGGCGAGAACCTCGATCTGCCGACGGTGCGCGACTGGGCGAGGATCACGACGGCATTTGTGGTCGAGTGGATGGGCATCCAGGACTTCATGCCCGGCGTAACGGGGACCAAGGCCAAGAGGAGCGGCGCGGCGGCCACGACGACGACGAGCCGGAGGACGGAGCTGTAGTAAAGGAACGGACGGGGGACGAAATGTCGGTGGGCAGAGCGGCAGTTTCGGGCTTGGCGTTAACGGCGCGATGTCATTGTACAGATAGAGGTAAAAAGAGTCATGTCATCCCGGGAGGGGGGTTGCATGTAAGGATGGGAGTTTTGCGGTCTGGCGTCTGTCCTTGATACTCTTTATACTATAACGATTGAAATTTGACGGATCATTTGCATGTCTGACTGTGATTACTTTGCAGAATGTCAACAACAGCAGCCAACAGCAACATCAGCAACCAACAGAGCTGAACAAGACGCTCAACTCTCATGGGGATGGACCGTGCAAGACGGACCGAGAGGCATTTATTACGGATTCTGCGCCAACGCCAGACTAACAAATACACAGCTCCCGAAGTAAACGCCGGAATTCCCCTGATTGGCTGCTCCCAAGATTCCGCTCTCGAAATGTGCCCACCGTTTGAGACCGGGTGGATACAGAGGGCGCAGCCGTTCATGGTTCCTTGTAAGACAGAGCCCGAACTGACCTGAATGATTGGCAAGTCTGTCGTTTCGTGATGCGGACCAACGGGCATGGGGTCCCCTTGCGGTCCCTTTGCTTAGGTTTGCGGGACAAATAGACGAGGGGGGGTCGTTTATCTTTCGATCTGACGTCGGTGTTTGCACTTTGTCCTGGGGCTGGGTCTTTATCTGAAATGCTTACTTGTCTGCTTGGTCCTGGTATTAGGCTCTCTTACTCAGACTCTACACTTCACCACCATGTCTTCAGCCGTATACTCCGAGGCGCAGGTCGCCCAGTTCCTCAAGCACCTTGAAATCCCTCACGAGTTCTATGTCGGCAGCGGCAGCGAGCCCATACTGGACCATGCCTTTCTCACCGTGCTGCACCAGCACATGATCTCCACGGTGCCCTACGAAAACCTGACGCTGCACTACTCCTCGCACCGAGATGTGATCCTCGACCCTCAAGCCCTGTTTGACAAGATTGTCGGCGGCGGCCGTGGCAGGGGAGGCTATTGCATGGAGAGCAACTTGTTCTTTTGTTACATGCTCCGTGCTATCGGCTTTCAGGTATATCCTGTTGGAGTAAGAGTGAGACTCCGTAAGGATGGTGTTCCTTACGGTGGGTATCTCGGCTGGTGAGTTTACTTGAAGTAATACAGATAAGACATTTCGACTGACTCACTTACAGGGTTCACATTGTCAACATCGTGACACTCCCGGACAACACCCGTTGGGTCCTCGACGCCTCTTTCGGCGGCGACGGCCCCACGCAGCCGATGCCGCTGGTCGAGGGCGCCGAGTGGCACAACATGGGCACGCAGGATGCCCGGCTCATCAAGGACTTCATCCCGGGCCAGACGGAGCTGACTGCGGGTCGTCGCTTGTGGATCTATCAGTGCCGCAACGCCCCCGACCAGCCGTGGGCGAGCCTGTACGCCTTCAGCCACTCAGTCGAATGGCTGCCCGCCGACTTTGAGGTCTCCAACTGCTACACAGGCACCAGCACGCGGAGCTTCCAGACGTCGACGGTACTGGTGGTCAAGTTTCTGCGGAGGGCCAAGGTGGGCACCCACACGGGCGAGGAGGTTTATGGCAAGAGGATGTTGATCAACGAGGTGATTAAGGAGAATCTCGGCGGAAAGACGGTGGTGGTGAAGGAGTGTAAGAGTGAGGCGGAGAGGGTGGAGGCTTTGAAGGAGTACTTTGGAATTGAGCTGGCGGAGGAGGATAAGGAGGCCATCAAGGGGCATCAGTCTGAGATTAAGGGCGAATAGGGTGGATATACCATGGATGCATTTATGACCTTTCTTATATATCCAGTTTTGTTCTTGCAGTCGATCTGGTGCTTGGTGTAAGTGGTCACAGTACCGCCTTGAACAAGCCACTATCAAGAATGAGAGATATGACGCGCACATGCAATCTTTACATGAATTGATAAAACCAGATGATCCCATCCAGAATACAATACGGAAGAGGAAGGCAAAGAGAAAAAGAGCATGTGGTTAAATGAATTCGAGCTTTTAGTATGGAGTAATAAATTGAGGGTTGAACTGTTAACTGCACGCTGCTGTGTGAGGCGCCCTCAATGACAAACATGATCAAAGAGCAGTAACCCAAATTATGAAAAATAGAAAGAAAAAAGCTTGATCAAGAGTTCACAATGGTAAATACAATAAAGCCCTGGGTAGTTATTACCCATATCATTGAAATGGCCTGGACCTTACCTCTATCTCTCCTTCTTGGAGCATGCTCCTTTACCCTGAAGCCAAGGAGTGCCCCACGCCGTATAGCTTTGACCAATCAAACGCCCCCACTACTCACCACGTAACGCTCTTGAGCAACGTCGTGTAGAGCTACCCATTTCGAGATCCATCTCAAGCTGTCCACTTCCCTCCAACCAACGAATCGACCCTGCGACCACCCTTTGAAATCATGCGCTTCTCAATCGCATCGTCGCTGCTTCTGCTCTCGGGCGTCGCGAGCGCTGCCTCGTCCTGGGGATTTACCGATGGCTCCGTGACCGTCTCCTCTAAGAAGGCCGACGGCGTCACCCAGAAGTAAGCTCTCCTACATCCCATGATGATGCGATTACGGTTGATGGACATCTTCATAATGGACACGCACTTACGAATGATCCTGCGATAGGTTTGCCGAACAGAAGCCCACCAAGAACGCCCTCGTTTTCGGCCATACCGACAGCATCAAGGTCTCGTTGACCACGACCGAAGCTTCCAAGGCCAAGCGTCCTCACCAGGCCTTCCTCGTCCTCACCGAAGCGACCGGCCTCGAGGCTCCTTACCCCCTCACCGTCAAGGCGTCTGGAAAGGGATCCGTCGAGATTGTATGCGATTGCCTCTTCGTCGATGCTGCGCTGTTGCTAACATGACCCCCAGACGCACAAGGACCTCCCTATCCAGCTGCTCCTTTCCGACACCCCCCTCAAGGCCAACCTGGTCCTGGGCTCCTTCGGTTCTTCTGACCCTCTCATCTCCCCCGTCTTCGAGATCGAGATCCGTCTTGATCCCAACGCTCCCGCACCCCAGTATGACGCTCCCATGCGATACGGCCCCCGAGCTCAGATCAGCCACATCTTCCGCGCCGACCCCAAGAGCCCTCCTGTCGTCATCTCTCTCGCCTTTGTGCTGGCCATCGCGGCTGCTGTTCCCACCCTTTTCCTGGCTGTATGTATACCGAGATGAAATTTGTTGTAGTTGGAACGATTGCTAATGTGTTGTAGTGGCTCGCTCTAGGTGCCAACGTCAACCACATCACCAAGGCCCTCGGTGCTGCGCCGGTCTCGCACGCCGTCTTCTTTGGATCCATCTTTGCCATTGAGGGAACCTTCTTCCTTTACTACAGCGCCTGGAACCTGTTCCAGACCCTGCCCGTTGTTGCCCTCCTCGGCGCCGTGTCCTTCCTGAGCGGTACCAAGGCTCTTAGCGAGGTCCAGAGCCGACGACTTGCCGGCGAGAGGTGAACGGCTTCATTGGACAAGGGTCTTTACTTTACTCGATAGACTGGCTGGTTCCCCAAGACATAGCGACACGCTGGTTAGCCTTAGCTTTGAGGAAGCCAGGGGATAGGTCATATTCAAAAGCATTTTATCGCAAGAAAGGGTCTGGACATGTATATGATGGACGGCGCACGCTGGAACTCTGTAACATCAAAATCTAGCGAATTCTATGAGCGTGGATAGAGGGATTGGCGGGCCGCTCGTGCCAAGGATGGGTCAAGAAGTAGACCTGGGCACCTCGATGGGATGGATGTATGATAGACAAATGAATTCGAGATTCGAAACTCTCTGGTATTGAAGCATATATGAAAGTGCCTTGATAAAGTATGCCTTCACGTCAAGTGTCTCATCGTGCTTACTTGTTCAGATCACGGAGCTGGGGTTGACGGTTGATCGAGCCTGTATGGTACTATGCAACTATATACCTGTCTCGAGATTTTCCTGTTCAACATACTATGTATGTTCAACACACACACACACACACACACACACACACACGAAATGAGACTTTATCTGCAACCATGCACTTCCCACCCTGAGACATGCACATCCGCCGCCTCGGTTCGTGGAACACTGGTTGTCTTCACTTCCTCTCACCTCCTCGCTCTCATTCCTCTATCATGCGAACATGCCTGCTTCCTTGCTTTCTCAAATATTTCTTTCCAAAACCAGCGAATACAGATCTCATATACATCATCACTCATCTACGATCTTGGTCCACATGCCCAGTCGCTCCTCCAACACGCTGTTGAACCACTGTGCCCGCTCCATCGGGGGGGCATGACCCATGCCGTCCTCGATGAGCCCGACACCGGGCCTCATCACCTGGATGAGCCTCTCACCGTTATGCAACTTGATCATGTTGTCGCGCGTGCCGTGCATGATGAGGATGCGCTCCCGCCCGACAGTGTCGGCAATCTGCCGCAGATGCTCGTCCGACTTGCGGTGCAGGCCCGCCGCTGTGAGCTGGGACATGAGACCCCCTATGGTGAACGTCTCCGGGTCCAGCCTCTTCGTGAGCTCCTGCGCCTGGAAACGCTGAAAGTTGGAGTCGAAGAGGCGATACGTCGGGCCGACCTCCGGGGGAGGAGGCCCGCATCGGGGAGTGACGCCCGGCTCCGGGAGGGTCTCGCCGTCCGGGGCGGCGAGCCACTCGGGCGTGAAGAGCTGCAGGCCCGTGTCGGAAATGTTACGCTCCATCGACTTGGGTATGATGAAGCCTACGCGCTCAGAAAGGAGTTCAAACACACCCCTTGCGCCATGGGTCAGCCCCCCAGACGTGCATAGCAGGGAGAGAGACTGGAGGCGCTTGGGGATGCGCATGGCCATCTCCTGGGCGATCATGCCGCCCATGGAGATGCCGACGACGTTGAGCTGACGTTCGGATGTCCAGCCGACGTGCTCGAGGACCTCGATGACGTCTAGGGCCATCTCGCTCGTTGAGTAGCGGCTGAGGGGCTTGTCGCTGCCGCCTATGCCACGGTTGTCGATGAGCAGGACTGAGTACTTGTCGCCACGGTCATGGCCAAAGTACTTTGTCTGGCGCTGCCACGAGGTCAGGGCGCCAACCAGACCCATGATGAGCTGATCGGAGTCAGTTTAAGACCGTACGCAGAGGAGAGAAGTAGGCTGGCCAAGGAAAATTACAACGGGGGCAACGTACCACAAGCTTTATCGGTCCGTCGCCATGGACCTCCCACGCGATATTCAGAGGACCACCGCGGTCTTTTGCCACAGGGAGCTTCCCCTTCTGGTGAGGTTCCAGCGCCCAGATGGTAGCTGGGTACGCTGGGTGTTTGAGCGTCTCCTCTGTTGAGGGGAACGCAGGAAATCTGCAACGGCGCATGTCAGTGAGAGTATGAGAGGGAAGCTGGGAGCACTAAAGGAAGAGGAAAGGAAAAGACATTGACTTACCCGGTCGACGCCATGGGTCTTGATTGTTTGCTTCACAGTGTCCTTGAGTTAGTACATCCACGGCCTTATATCCGTCCCGAACTTCCAGGGATAGTTTCTGTACTCGTCTACAAGCACCCGATGCCAAGGATGTAGATTCTTGACTGTTTCTGAGGTTATCAGCAGGCCGTCACAAGCAACCAGTCAGCATCCTTACCTGAACTGATTCTGAGTCGCTGCAGTAACGCGATATGGAAATGAGGCTTATGAATGTTGAATATGCTCAAAAATATAATACAAAAATACACAGATGCAACCTTGGTCGTTGTTTGTCGATGTCAGATGTGGAGAGAGATAGCACTTTTCGGCCATCTGACGTTCCCGCCCCCCCCAGAAACCCCAGACATGCCACGTGCCTGAGCTAGACCTAAAGATAACGAACGATGTTGGGGGTTTAGGAGGGGCCTCGTATTCCAGCCGAGGTGAAAGCTGGAACATTGCGTAGGCCAGAGAAGCCTTGTTCTATACATTGCAGGCCAAGACGTGACATGAGGCTTTTAACGATGGGTTTGTGGTTGCCAGCATTCGGCTGACATGTCGAGTATCAAGTCATATAAACGCCATGGGGGGTTGACCTGTATGAGTGATTGCAGCAGCTGTTTCTAGACATATGGCTTCATGGGAATTCATTTCTTGATTTCTTTTTGGGCTTCTTTCCTAGATGTAACTTGAAGGCTCACAACCGCTCAACTCCAGCAAAACCTAGTTGGCCACCCATCATGTACAATCTACTCAAGGCATCACCAAACCAATGCCGCTGAGGTTATCCTCATCAAGGTGGTTCTTGCGATCGACGCCACCGCCAATGGGGTTGAGGCGATAATTGAATAGGTAGTAGTGAAGCTGACCGTCACCTGCACCAAACTTTTGCTGCTCCAGGAAGAGGGCGTTGTCCATGAGGGTGAGGGCGTTGAAGACGTCAAACTTGTACTGCTTGGCGAGGATGAGAGCGTCGTGCGCGAGCTCGTTGAGGCGCTTCTTAAGGGCGGCCTTGTCGAAGGGTTCTTGCAGGGCCACCTCGGTTCCATAGTAGAACATGTAGGCAACCTTGATAACGCTGTGCTTGGTGTTACCAATAGCAGAGGATTCAATGCAGAAGAAGGAGAAGAAGTCGGTAATCTTGTTGTCGTTGTCCTGAGACTGGTCAGTGTGCGCTATTCAACAAGATCAAGATAACATGACTTACCACAACAACGTATGTCCACACAACCTGCTCTCCGCTGGGCTCGATCTTAGGGACAAACCAGTGATAGGCCTCCTCGCGAGTGAACTCGGGTGTCATATCGTAACGAGATGTGTATCGTTTGTACAGATCCATGACAGCTTCGAGATCCTTCTCCTCCATTGGGCGCAGACCCTTGGTACTTGTGTTCTCGGGTAGCTGATACTTGCGAACTTGGTATTGAGGCTTGCTGTTAGGAGGAAGAGGGCTGAATCCGCACTCGTACAGCTTCTGCCAGTTAAGGGCGCGGTGGAAGTACCGGCATGTGCTGACGGGCTTGGGGAGGACGACACCAGCAGTGTAGAGACCCTGCCAGATCTCGTTAAGGTTGCTGCGGCGGGTAATCTCCTTGATGAGGACGGGAGTGAGGCGCTTGCCTCGAAGCTTCTTGTGAATGGCAAGGAAGTTGACCTCAGAGCAGGTGATGAAGTTTTGGCGAACGCGCAGCCTGACGGGGATGGCCGAGATGAAGGCGACGAGTTTGCGCGACTGGGTGGCGCGAACGCCAACGTGGTACTCCTTCTTCCAGCCAGGAGGCATCATGGCCCTGAAAGTGTTAGCAATCTATTGGATTTACATATCCAAGAAGAGGGACTCACCATCGAAGGATAGAGGGGGAGTAGTTGAAGCGGAACATGGCCTCGTCATCCTCAACGTAGTGCTTGTTGAGGAGCTCATACACCTCCTTGATCTCCTCGTCATCAGTCAGATCCATCGTCACCCACTCGAAACCACCGATCAGAGGCGAGGGCTCCTTGTCCACCTCCTCGACCTTTTGAATGCGGAGAGGACCCTCCTTCAGAGTCGAGTCCTCGCCAAACTTGGGCACAGGTTGCGTCTGCCAGAACTTGTAAGAGCCCATGTCCTTCGCATTCTTTCCGCCGGCGGCAAGTCCAGTCATGATGTCCTGGAGGTTCATCTTGCGCAGCATGGCGGCGGCCTCATCGGCAGAGGGGTTCTCGCTGCTCGAGGCCTTGGACACCTCCTTGGCGAGGGCCGGGTTGAGGGCGAGGAACTCCTTGATCTGCTGGGGAGTGAGACCGTCGAGGGCCTTGTGGAAGTCGGAATCAGTAGGGCCAGATTTTTGGCCGGTCAGGGCCTCCTTGACCTTGGCGCGCTTCGACTTCTTCTTCTTCTTCTTCTTCTTTTCGCTGGAGCCCTCGGCGGCGTTGGGATCGGCATGGTCGTCATGTTCGTCGTGCTCCGACTCGGAGCCTGATTCGGCTTCAGCTTCGGCTTCGGCTTCGGCGATGGCCTTGCCCTTGAGCTCGGCGCTGGTCTCTTCGACCACCGGCTCGACCGGCTTGGACTCCTCGGACATGGTGAAATGGGTTGCGGTGTCGAGGTGTGTGGTGATGTCGGAGCCAACAATTGACGTTGGTGGGGAGGAAGCTCTTGGTGGGGTAATTTTCAGCCAAGTCAAGTGGCATGTGCTGGGTCTGGGTCTGGGTCATGCCCAAGTGTCTTCTTACCAGATGCGGGGTTGACTTTTAATCGAGGCTCTGAGGGTAAAAGAGAAGCTGAAAGAATTTGGTCAAAAATAATTGAAAAAATGCCCGTAATTCTAGAGATATAGAATCCCCCTAGATTATGTAAAATTTTGTTGGTGTTGACGCTCTTGCTAAAAAAGGCAATTATGCTTCAACGTTTAACTGGGCTGTCTGCGAGCATTGGTGTAAGTGGAACTAAGAGCAAGTCTCCTCTTCAGACAACTATAACGAGAACCTGCGTACTGGGATGGTTCTTATAGACTAAAATGGATATTGGTGACCTCTACTAGATCTGGGTTCTTAAATAACGCTCTTCAGTGACATCCCACCAAGCTCTTCGCGTGGAGCTCTTCATTCATGCCTACCCAGACTCAGATCCAACAACATGGCCGGATAGTGCCTCTTGTATACAACGAAAAAGCAGGTCTCGAAAGACTCCTCTTGTGATATTGGATAGACCTGTGCATCTTCCGACTCTAGTCTTCAGTGTAAGTCGTTCCATGTAGATCAAACGCCCTCATGATGCCAAGGGCCACAGGCGCATATCCCATAATGTCGTTGTGACCTACACAGTCAAGTTAGTCAGTTATGCTTGATAGTCAAGCAAGAACAATCCAACTTGCCTCCATGTGGGAAAAGTTCTTGTCGAATGATTATGTTGGGCTCTGCCGTCCAGGTCGTTACGAATGCGTCATCTCCCTTTCTGATGGTCCGCTGTTCTTTCCAAGCATCGAATTCGGCTTCGTCGAGAATTCCTACAGTCTCTTGTGCTGCTGCTCGGAACAATTTGTTGTCCTCGATCCAGGGAATATCTCGGTCATCCTTGGCGTGAATCAAGTTGATCCTCAGCCTCGTCTTTGTGTGTCGAACAATATTGGCCAGCCGATCAGCGGAATGCCATTTGTCGACAATGAAGCGGTGGAGGTAGCGCACTAGCCAGGGCCAGATACGGAAGGGCGCGAGAACCGGAAAGATGCCGGCGATGCGGTAACCCACGAGTAGATTAGCCAGATCGCTGAACCCGGCAACAAGTGTAATGCCGGCAAACTCGACACCCTGAAGAGCATACTTCTCAGCGACGCCGCTGACAACTGCCGTACCTAAGCTTTGGCCCAGCAGCTGAATGCGACTGGAGGGAATTCCTGCGACGTTGATGGCCCATTCGACAAGCGTTGAAGCATCTTGAATGACACCTGCCTCGGATGGAACGCCGGTGGAGTGGCCAAAGCCTCGATAGTCAATTGCAATGACATGGTAGGACGAAGTGTCAGTTAGAGAGTGGTAGCTATCAGGCCTGATGGCTTGCGCAATGTGGCCAGCATTCTGTCTATGTTAGTTGATGCCTGCTTTGTCACCTGTATCACTCACACCGTGAACTGTTGTAAATGTTAGTCCTACCCAATGTGTGCAAGTGAATCAGCGCAGATCTACTCACAGTACAACACCAATCGTGACTCGGGATCTTCTCTGAGGAGGCGAAACGACTCGGTCTTGGTAAAGTCTTCCGAGAAGCCCGGGTTCTGCGACTCTATCGAAGCCTCATTCTGTAGGTATAGAGGCAACGGAAGGATATGCCAAGCATAGATGGATTCCCCATCAGGCGTCTTGAGCGAAAATGGAGTCACCTGATTTCCTGATGTGTGGCGTGTGAGGCAATGTGAGTGTCACGGAAGATTGCAGGGGAGACGCACGAGCAAAACCCCATTGCTGTGGTTTGTTGACGTCTGTCCACAGGAGGGTGTTGATTTTGTGAGCGTACAGGAAGCTATCTTCCGCGTTAGAGATTGATTACGGTGCACATGCGATTAGAAAGCACGCCGTACTGTCTCTGAAAGAAAGGAGTCATGCCTAGGCCGAGGAAGACGCAGTACAGGCCTAGAGGTGCTGCGACCGCCCAGATGGCTGTCCGCAGCGCGGGATGAAGGGGGATTGACATGGTTGGTCTAGACAATTCGAGAAAAGTTCTAAAATTTCTATCGGGAAAGAAGAATACGTCAAAACGTCAAAAATGAAAATGTCATGACTGTATGGAGGTGCAAAGTCATGTTCGGGGTCTGAATCCGAGGCCTGAGGTTGAAGCAGACGTTGCTGCATCCGCGCTAAGGCGACAGCGCGGTGATCAAAGGTACCTACAATTACGAGGGAGAGCCACCGCGGCCGATGTACTGCAGGCGCAGGCGCGTCTTACCCGCTGCACAGTCAGCGATGCGGCTGTAACACGCCTGAAGTGAGGTGCGAAGTGGGGCCACCAGAGCCGCCAATCGACAGCAAGCCAATTGAGCCTCGAATCTGACCAAAGGCCACCTCCACTGGCCGGCCGCCTACACGTGCGGAGAAACGTCACCGAGCTGGAGACTTGGGCATCGCTGAAACTCCTGCGCCCGAGTCGGGACACGAAGCCAATTTCACCGGACGAATCGTTGGCCTCGTAGCTTGATATGAAGGCTGTTGATAGCCCAGTTGGTCACGGCATGAGCAGAGTGCCTCTTTAGGTTTAGCGGGGGTCTTCTGCACGCTGACCAGGTTGTTGCTGGGGAAAGCTGGGCTGGACGCGCTCTGATGCATGAAGCTGATTTGGCACTGAATGATTCCCATCCATCCCGGGTGGATTGATCACATTTGCAGCGCTTGGTTCGGGAAAACTGAGGTACCCAGGCCCTGAAGACGCGGCACGGGAGCTTAGGTCTAATCCCGCTGAGGTATCAGAGGCTCAGCAAGCACAGCACGCTAGCGGCCCCTCCGCCTTTTTTCCAGCGCTTTCAGCCAATAATAACCCCTGTTTGTCTCTCCATGCTGTAGGAGAGCACTGGGCCTCGGGTTGCTGGCCGTCCCTGCTACCGCTTTCCTCTTTCCAATCCCCATCTCCATCTTCCATCCTCCGTCTTCCACCTCCCATGTTGGCTTGATACTCCCTCCATACCCAGCCTCAGCTTCGGACCTAGCTCCGGGCTTTTTTTGTGCTCGTCGATCTCGTCAATAGCGAGCTTCTTTTCTGCTTTCAACAGCCGACGCGCCTTGTATGGCCTTCTTATAATGATTTGCTTCCCTCTCGCAGTGTGATTTCAGTTGCGTCCTCTGTAGTCTTTTCTGCTACAAGAGCTACTCGATGGAGCGGAAGCGCAAGCTGCCCGCCCGGGCCGCTGCTCGAGGCGATCACGCTGCCAAAAAGCGCAATGTCACACCAAAAGAACGCTCCGCGACGCCTGCTCCTCCCCCCGCGCCTCCTCCAGCTCCAGAACCCGAAGAGCCTCCCCCGCCTCCTTTGCCCAAGTCGATTCAGGCAGGCAAGCCGCTCCCCACCGTTGAAGTCGCGCAGCCCGAAGACTTGTCGTCTAAGGATTACCAGTCGGTCGGCGAGAGGTAAGTTGAATCGAATCCAAACCGTGGAATCTTCATACTGATAGACGCGTCTGTGAAGCGGTGTTCTTGCCGAATCCCTTTCACGATCTCGCCAAAAATGGATCAGCGATGGTCTTTTCGCCAAATATTGGTCAAAACCGCACAAGCGCAAGGGCGTCATCAATGAAGACCCCAAGAATCCGCCTAAGGAGACCATGTCAAAGGTCGGCACCGTCACGATCACGATTGAACCACACATCATCGAAGCTACCATGTATGTCGTCAAGGATCCTAAGCCAAAGCCCCAGCCGATTCAGCAAAACCGTCCCATCATACAATATGGTCCTCCGAATGGCATAATGCCCCCGCCTCAAGCGCCAGCCTCAGGAGCCGGCACTCCCATCCAAAGTCCAGCGACGATAGCAAAGCCTCCGCACCACAGCCCGGCACCGGGTCCATCTCAGAGTCCAGCGCAGCCACCACAGCCGCTTCCTCGAGTTCCTCAGGAGCAGTCTACTCCGAAGACTGTCCAGCCAGGAACAGTGCCTCCAGGGAACAATATGACCCCCTCACCGAGCCCAAATCTCCAGTCAAGGCCTCAACCAGCCGGAGTGCCTGTGGCACCATCCCCAACACCACCTCCAATCGTTCGTGCACCCTCAAATCCTCCGCCACCAGCTGCCATTCCTCCTGGCGCTGCGCTGCCGGCAGCTTCGGCCCCGATCCCAGCGACGAGGCCACCTGCTGGCCCAATGGCTGCCCCCTCCATGTCACCAGCGCCTCGACCAGCCACGAGCATACATACAACGCCCACAGCCGGTCTCGCGAAACCAGTTACACCGGCTCCTCCCTCTGCGGCACCCGCAGCAAAGCCATCCGCTAATGACCCTGTCATTGCTTTGCTTGCGCAAAAAGCATCAGGGGATGCTGAACTTCGTGATCTTATGAAGAGGGTCGCTGTTGGACAGGCAAAGGAGGGCGAGCTAGCTCATTTCCAGAAAATTATCGATCAGCTAAATGCTGAATATCGCAGCCGAGGTGGACAACAGGGACCATCTGCGGACCGACTTCTGGTGGATGGAAGAACGGTCAAGTATTTTGCGGTTGAGGTTCGAACTATTCTCGACATTGTTCTGGCCTCAAATCCCAACCAGAAGTCATCAGAACTGCGGCCACCACAGGGAAGTGACCCTCTGGTTGTTTTGCTGGTCAAGGCAGCTTTGGAGGAACACAGAACCCGGGACATGATCCGCCGGATCGCCGATGGACGACCTGGCTTTACAGATTCTACGGACCTGAAGGATATCCTAGATCGGCTACATCGAGAGATGAGAGCGGCGCCGCGGCCCTCCCCTGCTCCATCGCAAGTGCGACAACACACCCCCAATGGAGTACCGAATGGACAACCTAGGGCGCCAACCCCGCAGACTGTGGCACAACCGAATCCCCAAGCCTTGCGGTCCAAAGGCCCCCCGCCGGCTCCCAAGCCGGACGTCACCGCTGTTGTCTTTGATTTTGGAAGCGGAGATCGATATCTTTTCCCCAAATTCAGCATCCTGGAGTATCCGCCGACGCCATCAGGCCAGCAAGTCGTGGCGTCATTCCTGATAGTCCGTAAGGGAAGTACATCCGAATATGGCGGAGACCCAAAGCTGGACTATTACCAACCTGTTACGATACGTATCTTTACACAGTCTGGACGCCATCTGGAGAATCTGGCCCGAGTGGTTGCCCCACAGGATGAGGTACGGCGCTACATGGACGATGTGATGGACAACATGACACGCGCAGAATACGTGCTGCTCGCGATGAGGCTTCCAAAAGCCGTCAAAGATGGCGAGAAGGACGGCACCATCTCGGACGAACCAAAGACAAATGGGTCTACACCCAAGCCTGACCCGGCCCGTGAGCCGAAGCCGGTGTCGAGACCTGGTGTTCTATGGACATCCAAGGGAAAGTCAGAAACGCCACCCGGCGAGGGGCCCTCGAAGCCTCTGCGAGATGCAGAGCAGGAGGCCCAAGCCAAATACCAGCGACTCATCAACTCAGTGTCTGCAAAGGACACGGGTGGTCAATGACGTTGTCTATGATCACACTTGTCTGTCACCCTGGATGGTACTTGAGACTTGCGTGTAAATTTTGATTGGGGTGTTCAGGATGGGGAGCCATGGCGAAGTACGGAGCGTGGGGTGGTTATCAAGGTTATGGACAGGCGCTGTGTGTTTTGACGAGGGTTTGTAGGCCCGTCTCGATCCACAAGTTGTGGTATCCGAATGAGAAACTGTGTCATCAAGGATTTTGTTGGTTACGCGAATACCGCTTGCATGAAAGATTTGTCGAGTCTTTTTATTCCCCAAACTAGGAGGTTATGTTTCTTGCTAATGGGAGATCAGAGGAGGGGCGCTTCGAAGCGTGTGCCATATTGTGACATTGCTGTGAGCGATGGGGTTAAAGGTCGAAGAAGACCATATTCCCGTGTGCATTGATACCTCCTGGCTTGATCATTACAAATGATCCTAATTGAGGCTTTCAGTTGCAGTTCTGGATTAATAATTATCTTTGACTCATCTTTGCACATTTGGTGTTGGTTGTAGTTGGATAAAATGCCCCATCTCCTCCCGCCGTCGATCCCGGAACAATTTTGTTCCCAGCACCCCTCCAACAACGCTCGAAAAGTTAGAGTGCGAATTCTCTCAGTCACGACAAGATATCCCCAATAACCCCACAGCTCTCTTGTTATAATGGCGAAGCCAGTCATTGGTCTATTGGGCGGTGGCCAGCTCGGCCGAATGCTCCAGGAGCAGGCCATGCTGCTGGGCATTGAGCTTGTCGTCCTGGATGAGAACAACTGCCCCACCAAGCAGATCAACCTGAACGAGAAGCACGTCGAGGGCTCTTTCAAGGACCCCGAGAAGATTCGGGAACTCGCCAGGCGGTGCGACATTCTCACCGTTGAGATTGAGCACATCAACACCGAGGTCCTCGAGGAGATCGCCACCAAGGGTGTTGAGGTTGACGGCCAGCTCAAGAAGGTGCCCGTGCACCCTTCGTGGGAGACCCTCCGTCTTATCCAGGACAAGTACCTCCAGAAGGAGCACTTTGGAAAGGCTGGAATTCCCATTGCGCCTCAGATTTCAGTCGAGTCGGGCATCTCGATGCAGGAGTCGCTCCAGAAGGCTGCTGAGACCTTTGGCTTCCCTTTCATGCTCAAGGCTCGCAAGGGCTCCTATGATGGCCGCGGAAACTTCAAGGCCAACGGCCCCGAGGACTTTGCCGAGGCTATCAAGGATATGGGCACACTGTCCCTGTACGCCGAAAAGTTCCAGCCCTTTACCAAGGAGCTGGCCGTCATGGTTGTGAGGACCGAGGACGACGCTGGCAACCTGAAGGACGTCTACGCCTATCCGGCTGTCGAGACTGTCCACGAGGAGAGCATCTGCACAAAGGTGTTTTACGGCAAGGTCTCGAAGGAGGTGGGCGAGAAGGCGAGAAAGGTTGCCTGTGATGTCATCAGAACCGTCAAGGGCAGGGGTGTCTTTGCGGTCGAGATGTTTCTCCTGGCCAACGGTAGGCTTCATGCATGACCGCAAGCTGATAGAGGCTTACATTCTATAGACGAGCTGGTGATCAACGAGGTTGCCCCCAGACCGTAAGTTTGGCTCTGCCCCTTGGCTGGCTTGCATCTCTTGCAATTGTTTGAAGCATGCTGACACTGTCTAGCCACAACTCTGGACACTACACCATCGAGGCTGTCCCTTACTTCAGCCAGTACAAGGCGCAGCTCTACTCCATCCTCGACATTGTGCCCCCTTCCCTCAAGCTTCAGCCTCGCGTGTCCAGTGCTATCATGCTCAACATTCTTGGTGGTGCTCAGGAGTCTTCCCACGATGCGCTGGTTAACTTGACCCACACACACTACCATGATGATATGGACGTCTTCCTGCATCTGTATGGCAAGTCGTCTAAGCCTGGCCGAAAGATTGGACACATTACGGTCACCTCCTACTCTCCCGAGGTTAACCTTGAGGAACTCGCTGCCCCTCTTATTGAGGAGGTTGACAGCATCCGCCAGGGCCGTCTCGATGCTGCTTCAGCTCAGCTGCGTCCCACCGCTCCTGCCACCACTTCACAGCCGCCCGCGCCAACATCTTCGCGCGATACCAAGAACCCCTTGGTCGTTGTGACAATGGGCTCCGACTCGGATCTGCACGTGCTCAAGGGTGCATTCGAGGTCCTGGAGCGCTTCCGTGTTCCCTACGATTTCACCATCACTTCTGCTCACCGGACACCACACACCATGAGCGCTTTGGCTAAGTCTGCTGCTGATCGCGGTATCCGAGTGATCATCGCCGCCGCTGGTGGTGCGGCTGCGCTCCCTGGCATGCTGGCCTCTGAGACGCCCATCCCCGTTATCGGTGTGCCCGTCAAGGCAACTCACCTTGATGGCCAAGACTCGCTGCTGAGCATCGTTCAGATGCCCCGAGGCTGCCCCGTTGCCACGGTCGGCATCAACAACTCTACCAACGCCGGTATGCTCAGTGTCCGCATTCTTGGTACCGGCGACGCCAAGTACAGGAAGGCCATGGCCGACTACATGGTGAGCATGGGCGAGGAGGTTGAGGGCAAGGCGGCTAAGCTACAGGAGATTGGCTGGAAGGCGTATTTGGAAAAGAAGTAAGACATGAAGTGAAAACGAATAAAAATGGAGAGTTGATGGCTGCTAGATCGAGGTTGTAAGGATCCAAGGACTCGTAGCAATGCTTGTGTTGTAGTAGACGTAGGAGTACGGACGATAAGAGAGCGCCATAGCTGGCAGATACCATGAATATATGATTTCAATCACAGATACGGATAAGATGAATTGTCATTTTTAGCGTAATAATCATCTGACACGTACATCTGTATGTCTGTTGTTAACTTGCTAATGAAATAACTGGTAATGTCAAGATCTCTTGATCCTAGGAGTTCTACAAGAGAACCAGACGTATCTACTTCACTTACACAGGCATGGGGATAATCGTGATTGGCCAAATTGAAAGTGTCGGCGTGATTGGCCGCCTCAATGCAACCTTTGTCCTGACGCTTTCTGCCAGCGCAGTCGGCTGCTTTTGGCATATTAGGTACTTTAGAAGAGCCGAGTATTGATACCCATAATCTGCATAGTCAGACCAGTAAGAGTGAAGCTACTTCCGCGTGCTCTGTCAGACACCGAGAAAATGATGAATGCATAAGAAGAGGGTGTTTTGTTAAAAGCGAAGTTGATTCTTCATTGGCTTTCCCAGCCGACCCCCCTTTTATCTATCTATGTACATGCAATATTCGGATCTCTAATAGACCGATTCTTCTCCGGATCCACTAGGGTTGTGCCTCGATATTGACGACAGAATTGGGGGAAGGTTTTAATGACAAGGACTTGTCCTCATCAACTTGGCGTTGTAGTGTTCACTCGGCCCCTGCCCGGCCTCGTCCGCCTATTTACCTAATCCTAACTCTAACCCTAACGCCAGATGGGCCGAGTCTTTTCGGTAATTGTCATCGACTTGTGGTAGAGGGCTAGTATAGTCACGCGGCCATCCATGATAAAGATGTTGCGAATATAGCTCCTCGTGTTTGCGGTGTGGATAGATAAGATCTCTGGTCCCCTGGGGGAGCTGCCCACTGGTTATGGTGATGAGGACGGAGGTGAGTCGCAGGAGAGCTTGACCTGGAGGATGTATGACTTGGACTTGGATTTGCTGAGGGCGTTTCCGCGAACAAAGTTAGAGTGAAGTGAGGGGTCCTGCTTGACCCATTTCATGATGAACTCGTGCCCAGCGTTGACCCATTCGTAGTTCTGAAAAAGCTGCAACTCTGCATGAGTTGAGGCCTCCGTGGTAATTTGTCCTCAATTTGTAGAAGAAGCTCCCGCCCCTCCTGTAAGGCTTGAGCCACTGAACTGTTGAAGTCGTCTATAGTGTCATAAAAGGAGACGAACATCCGTTCTCGGCAGCAAGGCGGGCGTCGAGTACGTTGGCATACAGTTAGTAAGCTGAATATTCTATGGGTTCCTAGGTAGGCATTTGTATCTCGTCTATGATCCCGCCCCTGACGATTTCAAGAAACCTTGACATGTCCAACGCCACCCCAATCACCGAGCTCTGTCCATGGAATGCACTCGGGGTTTGAGGGGTCAGACAGTGATGAGTTATTCGAAAACGCAACATTTGTCATGGAAAGGTGACAACTTTAGAGTGGATGATACGGACAGATTCGAGTAAATCAAGTATAAAATACCCATCTCCTTCCCAGCTGGTTACCTCCTTGCGCACCTCAACTTTTTTTACGGATCTTTTCTCTCCCTTACCACTACCAACTCTCACGACAATGCGTGCCGTTGCCCTTCTCCTCTTTGCACTCGAGGCCACCCTCGCCGTGGCCGTTGCGCTCCCAAGTGGCCATCGTGGCAGCTGTGGTTGCAGCCGCAACGGTCGCAGGGACGTCACTGTCCTTGAGCAAGTCGGGGACAAGAAGATTGTGTCGGAGGAGCTGATCATCCCCGAGTCCCATGTTGACGAGCTCAAGGGTTCCAAGGGTGGCAAGTCGCGGGAACTGCACACCCGCGACGTCAAGCCGGCCCCAAAGCTCAAGCCGGGCCAGCGGCTTGGACTGAGCAGCCAACAGCTCCAGAAGGTCTCAACTCTGGACAAGAGCACTCGCAGAAGGGCGGCTACGTTCCTGGGCTTCAGCAAGGAGGTTCAGCAGCTGTTTGGCGAGAGTGATCCTCCCTTCTCCACTCGGGCCGTCTACCTGCTCGAGAAGGAGTTGGAGCAGAAGGCCAAGTTGCCTAGGCTCAGGGGAATCCTGGAGCGATACGACGCCATCCCAGTGACACCAAAGGACGACAAGGAGCCGCCGCTAAAGCGATCAGAGGGTGACCTCTTCGACACTAGCCGTCTGCCTAAGGAGCTCCAGTCCCGGGATCTTGAAAAGCGGCAATCCGCAATGGCAGAGCCCAGATTCACCGACGAGCAGGTCCTCAAGCTCGAGACGATCGATAAGAAGACTCGAAATATGGCTTCCAAGTATCTGAAGCTTAACCCGGCGCTTCACAAGTTGTTTGTGCACAACGGCCCTCCCTACCAGCCTTGGGTCCTCCGCATTATCGAGAAGGAGTTGACCGAGAAGGCCAAGAAAGAGTCGGTAAAGAAAGTCCTGGATAAATTCGACCTCATCCCAAAGGCCATCTTTATGGATAACCCTAAGGAGCGCCGATCAGTTGGTGATGAGCTAGTCAACAACCATCTTGAAGGTCAGCAGCATTCCAAGGTCGTCCCGCGTGCCACTAACGATGAAGCTCCTGAACAGAGTGAAACCGGGCAAAAGCACCGCGACACAGAAGAGTCGGACGCGAAGGCGGCCTATGACTACAAGGTCGCTGAGAAGATGAAGGAGATCAAGGAGGAGGGATGGTGCGAGGGTCTCCAGGGCATGCTCCAACGGGCGTTCACCTTGACAAGGAATCCATCGAATGGTGAATACTTGGTTGCAAAGAATGAGTTTGATTGTTTTTGGAAACTTTATCTGAAGGGACAGAAGTGGAAGGCAAAGGAGGAGGATCTCTCGGTTGCTAACGATGGGGCAGCTCATGAGGGCTGAGCACAGGCATTCTTCGGGACAGCTTTGAATTCTGATAGGCTTCACTGTGATAATCAATTTGCGTCATCTTTATAATTGCCAGTTCAGAGCAAGTTTGAATCGTAGTAAGCGTGGGTTGGGAATAGCTTCAAAACGATATCAAGGCTGGTATTGTAAATCCGGGCCGCATAATTATCCGGCTCACGTGCCCGTAGTCGTCCATCTTTGGGCTTGCACCTTGCAGGAACGGCAGGGGTTGGCATTACGTAGGGGTACGTACCTGGCAATCATCCATGTCAGCAACCAGCCCCGGAATGTCATGAAGTCGCCCAGGGCAGGGCAGGCTTCAGCTTCTCCTAATCATATCATCATCAATCAATCGCCAGATACATGAGAACCAGAGCCAATCCTGCTACCTCGAAGTGATGAATATAGAGCGGGTCTCTCAAGATGGGCCAGAATCTTTCGGATGAGCAACCGCAGCGGCGGTCGCATGAGGAGCTAACTCATGAGCTGGTGAGCTGTCCAGTCTACCGCACATCCGCGTTGGAAGCCATTCACGACCAACTGACACGTTTATGTAGGCAGAGAGGTTCAGGAGCAAGTGCTTTACTTCCCTCGAGTTTTACTCGCTCAAAGATGTCTTCAAAAGCCTTGCAGATCAGCAAGATTCGATCAGGTACATGAAGGAGGATACCATCGCTCGCTACCTTGAGATCCCCGACATCCTTGGCGCGTCACCTGTCATTTTTCAGATGGTGTCGTATCTGGGTGCCTTTCCCTTCCTTCAGGATGCCCCGGTAGTACTGGAGCTACCCCGGATGATCATGGTCATCGTCATCATGACTGAGCGGTACCGAACCGTGCTGGCGCGGGGTTCCGCGGACAGGACCAAGCTGCTATTTAGGAGCTTGGCTGTCTTTGATCGCAAACCATCTGAATCGGATGCTCTTATTCCAGATGCTGCTCAACTTGATGAGCCTAATGGCAAGGACGAAAAGGTCCAAGAGAACTCGCATGTTGCTGGCTTCGCAGTGGACCAGGCTGGCGATGAAGTCGATGACGACGACGATGAAGATGACGACCTCGTTTTGACGGCCTTTGAGTTGCTCGACGTTAAAGAAGCCGTGGATCAGGGCCATGCCCCCAAGTTCCATTCTGCTACGATCCCGACTGACAACTTTCGCAAACTTCTGATGCTGCTTCTGCTGGCCGCTCCACTCGATCCTCAGGAAAGCCTATCGCTGTACTCGCCTCACGTTGTTGGTGAGCAACTAGAAGGCCTCCGCGCAACTGCTGAATGCATCCTGGCCTCGTTTGTCAACGCCGAAACGTCTACTGGAATCAAGTACAGCCACTTCAAGAGCATCATCCCTGTGATTTGCCCCAATCTTTTCCGCGGGTTCAATGGCCTTTTTGAACATTTTCTATTTTCCAAAAATCTAGACTTTTCCAAACATCAAAATGATATCCCCATAACCAAGGTGGCCCAGCCTCTCTTGACCGACTCTGGCGAGATCCTGAACCACAACACCCTGTGCCAGATCTCACTCTTCCTCCCTGGCTCAGACCTTTTCCGCAGAGTGAGACTTCTCTACTCTGGCAATGATGCAGGCTTCTCAATGGGAAGTTTCCAGACAAAGGTGTTTAACTGGCAGGCTCCCACGTTACTCTTGGTTAGTGGAACACGGCTCAGCGATATCCCAGAAGGTGGTCAAGAAGTAGCCTTTGCGGCATCTCTCCCTACAAAGAGATTTCCTCATGGAAGCAAGTCAGATCAACTCACCTTTGGCGTCTACGTGAGGGAGCCCTGGAAACACACTCACAGGGAATGCTTTGGCGACGCGGACACAGTCCTCTTCCAACTGGAACCAATTCACGACGTCTTTCCAGCATCCACCATCAACAAAGACTACGTTACCTTCACCAAGGCGCCTGCACACCATCCCATGTTGTCATTTGGCTGTCCCCACCCTCATCCGTCACAGGCTCACCGAAAAGCCGACATGTTGCATCTGGGCCCCGTCTCATTGACGCTCGACGATTCGTTCGAGTTTGCAGTCTTCAACCACGACTTTACCTCACGAGGCGGCGCGTTCCGCTCGAGTTCGGTCAGGAAATTCGACTTTCAAGAACGCTTCCAGATCGAGAGCCTCGAGGTTTGGGGATGCGGTGGTGATGCAGAAGCTCGAGCGCAGGCTGAGAGATGGGCCTGGGAGGAACGGGAAGCGGAGGCCCGCCGCAAGATCAACCTGGGAACCGGGGATATAGAGGCGGATCGGGCCTTATTGGAGATGGCAGGGCTGATCGGAGGGGCTCGGAGCGGGGGCTCCATGGGATAGGTAGGACGGCATCTGTCGATACCTTGCTCATATTGATGGGTATTTTCGCAGTGAAGGTTCTCAACTGGGCAAGCAAATAAACAGGAGGGCTGAGTTGGAGGACCGGCGCCTCCGACATCATCAGCTTCATGACGTTATCCATCATTAACACCGTTCTAAGAGTAGAGCCATGCTGCGCTCAAAGGCACCGCCCATCCGCTATCGTACATAGTATGCTTCAAAGTGATTGTACAAGGCTCCGCTCCGGCTCCAGCTTTTTTTTTTGTGGGTGCCGTTGTTGTTGAGTTAGTCCTTCTTCTGGGACGAGATGATCTCACCGAGATCACCAAGAGAGCTCTTTGGATTCTTCTTTTTTCCCGACTTGTCGCCTGCAGTTTCCTCCACAAGTTCCTCGGCAACCTTCTTCTCTTCCTCCTTTTTCTCGCCCTGAGGCCACAGGCCGATCCGGCTGAGGATGCCCCCGGCTCCGCCGGACGTCGCCTCGGGCTTCTCCTCTGTGGTCGCCGCCGCCGCCGCCGCAGCCTCCGCCTCCTCGGCCCTCTGAGCCTGCACCAGCTGTCTCCTCTGCTCCAGACGAGCTTTCATGGCCTTCTCCTCGTCGTCTCGGGCTTCGAGCTCCCTGATCCACTTGAGGCGCTTCTCCTCGGCGTCCCGCTGCTCCTGGAGTTGGCGCAGCTCCTTGCTCTTCTCGCGGTCCTTCTGGTAGTACATGCTGCCCGCCAGCATCGCGATCACGGTGAATCCCTGGGCTGCCACTCGGGCTCGGAACATGCGGTTCGCCTGCTTCGAATCGCCTCGGCGGAGGGCTCGGTAGGCGTTGACGAAGGCCAGACTGGTCAGACCAATTCCTAGTAGGAGGAACGAAGTTGTTAGAGTTCTTGATCTCGGTAGAGGAAAAGAACGCGGCATTTGGGTGCCCGGGGAGTTAGTTACCCAGCGGGATCAAAGGTTCCTCCTTGATCTTGCGAAAGACCTTCTGCATCGGACGCTCGTTGTAGAAATCCCTGTCTATCGCGTGAGCGGGGAGCAGACGGCGCAACACGCCGGGGCACGCAGAGCATACTGGTCGCTGTCAAAGGACGAGGGCAGAGGCCCCGGGATAGAGGGTGGACCGTCAGCCATTGTGTCGTGGAAGAAGGCAATTGCTGGCGGAAGATGCTGGTGTAGCTTGCGCTGGGCGAGCTATGTATGCGAGGTTAAGAATGTACCGTAATCATCACTTTGTCGCCGACCACGGACGGGCTCCACTTTCGGATGCGAGGTACGTACCTCCGGCTTGTTCCTTCCAAATTGGCCGGACCGTCGCAGCTGCGCACGGGCCACATAGAGAGCCTGCCCCACCAAACTTCAGCTTAGATCTCCCTGAGCTTCTTGAAATGTACCTTTGTCATCACTCAAACACCACAACATCTACTTGAATCAGTCTTAACAGCACACGATTCCCCAAGCTTCATCGCGGCAGCTCCGGTCATCGCGTCTTTAGCTATCAATCGAATATACATACGAACGCGATACCACTCAGCCATCCCCGTGGCCCTACTTCTCTGACGCGCCTAGCTTCACCATCATGCTACACACATGATATAGCCCACGATGTGGTTGCCCACGCCTTCGGTCGAGAGCATAACCCGGCCGCGGTTGGCCGTGGCAGTTGTGGCTGCTGTCGCCGCTGCCTCAGTAGGATACTACACATATCAGAGCCGCACATCGCCAACATTCGAAGCCATCCCTGGCAGTTTGCACAGGAGCAACGCCGTACGCCGCCGTCATCGCCATATTAGGGCCCCCTCCGAGTCTAGCGCATCTTCGGAGCCACCGGGTGATGAGAATGTCGAACTCGATACTGTACGGCCTGTTGACGCCGAGACCACGGTGGAAGGCGGGACAGACGAATGGTGGAACGAACCAGGCGGCTTCCCTTCAAACCAGCGAGCTGGTCATAATATTGTGAATCTTTTGTTCCGTGTTTCAGAAGACAACGCACGGAGGAACGGCTGCGTGCACCGTGGCTGTCAGTGCAACGCCTGCGGCATGGTTCCCATCCGAGGAGTGCGTTATCGTTGCGCAAACTGTGCCGACTTTGATCTGTGCGAAACTTGCGAAGCCCAGGGCGTCCACATCAAAACCCACATCTTTTACAAGATCCGCGCACCGGCGCCGCCCTTTGCCCCTAGGCAGATGCAGCCGGTCTGGTACACTGGAGACCCTGACACCTGCAGGCGCAATCTACCGCGCGGGCTGATACCCAAATTGTCACGGGAGACGGGTTTTGAACGGCCAGAGCTCGAGGCATTCTGGGAGCAATGGACCTTTATGGCCAACACGGAATGGAGAGACGACCCTGACGACCTTGGTCTGGCCATGGACCGCAAAACTTTTGAGCGCTGCCTTGTACCTCTGGGAGGATCTCGCCATGCAGCTCCGAATCTCATCCATGACCGCATGTTCTCTTTCTATGACTCCAACAATGATGATTTGATCGGCTTCACTGAGTTTCTACACGGCTTGTCATACAGGAAACGAAAGGACAAGTTACGCAAGATTTTTGCTGGCTATGACTTGGATGGCGATGGTTACGTTGACCGAAAGGACTTTTTGCGCATGTTCCGCGCATACTACGTCCTTTACAAACAGATGCATAAGGATATTCTGGATGGTCTTCAGGGCCAGCTACTCGCTAGTACCGATGCTCTGCAACTTGTTACCGGTCGCCAACCTCTTAGCAGTCTGTTTGGCCGCGAAGGACGGGTTCCAGCAGGAGAGGGAGGAATCCGGTATGAAGGCAAGACATACCAGCGTGACGGGAGTGTGGAAATTGCGGACGGGCATGAGGGAGTTGTTGCCGAGAACGGGGAGGACACAGCCGCACGGGGCGACATGTTGACCACCCTGTTTGCCTGTGACACGGACCCTCCCTCTCGAAGACGATATATTACACGGAGCGATACTGACAGCAACTGGCGAACGATGCGGACTGCGAGCGAAGCAGATCGCACGTACTGGGTTACACTAATGGAGCCTCCAACAACACTGGATGAGTTGCCAGGTCTCGTATTGGACAATACGAATCTGGAAATTGAGGAGCCCAGCGATGATGATGAAGATGACGACGGCAACGTCAGGAACAGACGTACTGGCGCAAATGAAAACGGAGATAATGCAGGCCCGTCACAGACAGAGAGCGAGGCCAGAGCCGAAATGGCCGCTGAATATCGAAGCAAGTTGCCCAGGCTGGAAAAGAAGAAGAGAGACATGGCGCGGAAAGCGTTGCATGATCGATGGATGAGACGCCAGTTCTACCTCGATGAGGAAGAGGGAGGATCTGCTCCTGACGACTGGCCCGAAAGTGAGGATATTCTGATGGACCTTCGCCGGATGGATGAGAGTGCCAGTACCGATGGTGAAACCAGCTCACCTACAACACCGACAAGCTCCAAAGTTCGATTCGCCAATGGCAACGCGGGCGAATCGAGCAAGTCTACCTCTCCAAGCAGCCCCTCGGAGCACATTCCGCGCTGGAGGATGCCCGAGGCTGAACATGATGCTGGCAAGGAGATCCTTTACCAAGTTACCCAACATGCCTTCAACGAACTGCTCGATACCATCTTCAAGCCAGCAGAGGATGTTGCTGTGCATGCTGCCGAGACCAAAGAGCAGAGAAAAAGATACAAGGAGGTGCTCGACACGATGGAGATCAATGACGAGGACGGTGCAAAGGCATCCACAGGCGATGGTGATACGATTGTCAGGCCAGCCACGGATAAGACCCTTGAAGAGCTGTTGTCTGAGAGCGGATACACAATCGCCATGCCCGAGGGCCGGAACGCAGTGGAAATCGAGACTACGGTGGAAATCATCAGAGAGGATGAGCCAGCAGAGCCCACGCCTAAAGCCGACACTGATGCAATCTTCACATCCCCTGACTACCGAGATCCAACTCTTCCTCAGTTCAGGCCCAACACCGCAGGGGAAGCTAATAATTTACCAAGACGCACATGGTACCCCATTACACAACCCGTCTCAAACGAGACCTCAGAGGAGGAACATGGTGAAAGAGCTGGCACGGGGACAGAAAGTGCCCCTACACCAATGACACTACGACACTGGAAGTGGCTCAGCCTGGCAGAGGCCCAAGCGATTAAGAGGGGCGGCTGGGGCAAACTGAGCTTTGATGAATTCGAGGCCATATACAAGAGCCAGGAACACCAGGGCAACCGACTGGACTATCTCGGAAGTTGGATTGACTTTTGCATCCCTTAGGAGGCGGACTACTATCGCGGAGTTGCTGAGCGTACCACCATGCTACCCTCTCGTCGGAAGCGAATTATTCCTTATGCGCCGTCTATTTTTCGTCCATTACCGGGCGAAGAAGAAGAATTGGATGGTTATGAAACTCATTGGTTTAATGGGTTTCCAATCGTTTATGCAGTCGTTGATGAAAGCGATGATGAGAGCGACGAAGAAATGGACGGCTTCATCGCCGATTTCAGTGATGAGGAAAGGGACGAGGGAAGGTTGCCTCAAGTTATAATTGACCCCATGTCCTGGGTCTAAGACGGTGATGCAGAAGAGACAGAAGTGATGAAGCGTAACATTTACTCGCAGCAATAGGTACTTGTTGTTAGTTAATGAGCAGCGCTTCTTCCTTGCCTATCTTACATCTTGACATGTCCCATGATACAAGCCCAGGTTTCCATCACTTCTCTTCATCATATCTTGGGACTTCAATAACCACAATTTCCTTGCTTCCGCTGCTTGAATCACCATCGATTGCCTCTGATATGCAAGCAATGATTGCAAAGACGATCATTATGACAATGATAAAGGCAATAGAGAAGAAGATGCCGATGGAGATGAGCTTGAACAAGACACCAGCAAACAGCACATAAAAGCCAGGGCCTACAAATGTTCGCTCATTCCCCTGGTCGATGCCAGACAACTGGATCAACGAGCGAGGGCCGTCATTCATGGCGTAGATGACGAGGATTCCCGTGCCGAGAAAGGCCGTTGTGTCCACCATGGCGATGCAGTAGTAGACCCAGCGCTGAAGCCTGCCTCGGAGAGTGCTCAGCGAGAGTACGGTCAGTGGGAGGACGAGGAATGAGAGGAGTGTCGAGATGATGGACAGAGCGGCTGCGCCCTTGAGGAGTGACTCGGGGCGGGAGGGCGAGGGGAGATCATCTTTGACTTGTGATAGAGCATTTGTCCAGGGCTTGATATGCTTGGTTATGGTTGACTCAGAAGCTTCGTCGGACATCTTGGTCTTGACGGCAAAGGTGATCATATCCTCGATGGTCATCGTAGGTGGAAAGGAGCGTTGGCAGGTTGGAGTCTTTTCGTCGGGATAGATTGCACAGACACCTATTCAGACCAAGTTAGAGGGTGCATCGTTACTTTTTTCAAGGGTTACAGACCAGAGAGACCCCAATACCAGTGGTTCGGCAACTCGTCGATACGGAGATCATTGGCCGACACACGAGTCGTGTTTGCAGCAGCGTCGATGAGATCCTGGCTACTAACGCGGAAGAGGTAGATAGACTGCGTGGCAGGGGACATGCATCCGATGAGGATGACAAAGTTTGCAACCAGACCGACTGGTTATTGTCAGAAGAGAAACACTCAAAACGGACGGATAACATACGGAGGATGGAGATCATGAACCAGATGCTGAGGCCCTTGGACTCTCCCCAGCCCAATTGGTGGGCAAACAACTCTCCCCAGGTTCTCTTCTGTCTGGGTTTATCGAACATGGTGTATATCGTTTCAAAGTACTAAAAGAGTGTGATGTTGAGAAACAGACAGAAACTAGTGTTGGCAACTCTGGGATATCCTCGATCAAATAGCCCTCATCTTTTCACCGACCACATATCCTAATTCATCCAGGATCTCTGCATGCTTCGTGGCGCTATAAACACTTACACGGCAGAGGGAGAAAAACGTCGATCCTTTTCCGCCCATGCAGGGGAAAACATGCATGAGACGTCACGGCAGTCATTTGATTTGATGCGCAACCGCGAGCGCAGTTCAGCTGGCAGGGGGGATACAAGTTGAAACGTCAAGCAAGGAGTTTCTATGCTCAAGAGGGATAATGATGGACATGGACAGGGGGAGAATGATCGCCACGAGGCGTTTTTTATTTTCGTCAAAGTTGGAATGAAAATGCGAGGGGGTTTTCAGCTGCATATTCATGATAATCACATTGAATCTCAAATGACAAAGGGATAAGCTTATGTTTAACCTTGGCGCTAGAGCCAAACTATGTAGGTATTCAACCACATTGACTAAGTACATGTGAATACTATCAAACTCCAATCATGACCAGCATGCTACTCCTCCTTTCTTCTTTTTCTTCTTATTAAACCTGCTGCTGGGTAGAGTCAACACCGGCAAAGCCCAGAAGGGCGTTCCATGTGTCGGCTGTGCTCTGATCACGAGTGCCCAGAGCCTCAATCTCGGCCTTGGCCGACTCGCAAGCCGCCTTTGCAGCGTCGTTGGCGTTGCAGACGTTGGTGAGCTGATCGCAGATGCGGTTGGTGATGATGTTGGGGTTCAGCGCCTCCTGCTGGCCCTCGGCCACCAAAGGATCCTGGGGGATGAAGGTGAACTCGTCGGCTGGTCGGCCGTTGAGACCGCCAACTCGTGCCATTGTGGGCTGGCAGACACCAAAGTCGAGATCACCGTTGGCTCCTCCAGCGGCACCATCAGCAGCACCATCAGCACCATCAGCACCATCAGCAGCGCCATCAGCACCATCGGCAGCACCATCAGCACCATCGGCAGCGCCGTCCTGGCCCTGATCGGCGCCTCCAGCGTTGTCGTCCTGGTTCTGGTCATCACCAGCATTGCCGGCATTTCCTTGACCATTGCCCTGGTTTCCGTTCTGGCCATCCTGGCCGTTCTGGTTGTCGCCGGCAGCGCCATCTTGGTTGCCCTGATCATCACCATTGGCAGCATCATCTCCAGCGTTGCCCTGGTCATTGCCCTGGTTGTTGCCTCCGTTGTTGGCATTGTCATCACCAGCGGCGTCGTCACCAGCAGCATTATCAGCTCCGTTGCCCTGGCCGTTGTTGCCCTGGTTGTTGTTGTTGCCTTGGTTGTTGCCTTGGTTGTTGCCTTGGTTGTTGCCTTGGTTGTTGCCTTGGTTGTTGCCTTGGTTGTTGCCTTGGTTGTTGCCTTGGTTGTTGCCTTGGTTGTTGCCCTGGTTGTTGCCCTGGTTGTTGCCCTGGTTGTTGCACGCAGCTCCGTCCGCCTCAGTTCCGTTGTTGGCGTTTCCATTGTTGGCGCCTCCATTTTGGTTGTTTCCTCCGTTGGCAGCATCACCGGCAGCATCATCACCAGCGGCAGCGTCGTCTCCAGCAGCAGCGTCGTCACCGGCGGCAGCATCGTCTCCAGCAGCGGCATCATCACCAGCGGCAGCGTCGTCTCCAGCAGCAGCATCGTCACCGGCGGCAGCGTCATCTCCAGCGGCAGCATCATCGCCGGCGGCAGCATCATCGCCGGCGGCAGCGTCATCGTTGCCGTTATCCTGGTCGTCGTTTTGTTGGTTGTCATTTCCTCCTCGCTGGGCCCGGTTGGCTCCTCGGTTGGCTCCCCGAAGACGACCAAGTGTCAGTCGTAGCCTTCTTCCACGACCAGATCCTCGGTGACCATCATTGCCATTGTTGTCGTCCTCGGTATTATCATCTTCGGCATCGTTGGCATCGTCGGCGCCGTCATCCTGATCAGCATCATCCTGATCATCGGCATCGTCTTGACCGTTGTTTCCAGCTCCGTCTGGAAGGGTGCCGTTGCTGGGGGCGGCATTTCCGGCTCCGGCTCCAGCTCCAGCTCCGACTCCGGCAGTGCTATTGTTATTAGGGGGGAGAACACCAGCCGGAGTGTCGTCGCAGTCGTCATTATCTCCAGCAGCACCTCCAGCATCAGCACCAGCATCAGCACCGGCACCACCTTCAGCAGCACCGTCGCCTGCAGCGGCATCATCACCGGCAGCAGCGTCGTCACCGGCAGCGGCATCATCTCCAGCGGCAGCATCGTCGCCACCAGCAGCACCATCATTGGCAGCGCCATCGTCGGCAGCACCGTCATCAGCACCACCAGCTCCGGCACCAGCTCCGGCACCAGCTCCAGCACCGTCCTGTCCGTCAAGCGCGACTTGTGCTCCGTCGGCACCAACAGCAGTAAAGTTGCCAAAGCCCTGAGCAATCATGACTTCAGCCTGGGACAGACCCGTGGCGTCAAAAGGCGTCTGGATCGAGGTTGCAGAGTTGGCATTCTCAACATCTGAGCCACCAACAGCCGGGTCAACAAGGGGGACGATTCCTCGGAGCTCAGCAGTGGCAGGAAGGCTGGGGTCGGCGCACACAAAAGGCACGTCGACGGCGAAAGGGTTGAAGTTGGTCTCGGCAGAAACTAGGCCAATCGCTGCATCAATGACCTGCTGGTCAGTTCCCAGCTCGCTGATGATTTGGTCGGCAATGGTAAGCTAAAAGAACATGTTAGCTAGTTATCTCTAGACAGATACAAACTTCTCATTACCTTCTGGCAAGGGCTAGCAGCGGCAAGGAGAGATCCTGGAATGCTACCAGCAATGGTGGCAGCAACACCAGGATCACCGAAGCCAGCATCGCCGAGTGCCTGGACTGCAGCAACAGGGATCTGCTCCTGGCCAAAACGGGCCTCGGCGTAAGCCAACAAGATAGAGAGACTGAGTGCCTTGGAAAGAGCCATGATGAATAGTTTCAAAAGACTGAACGTTGGTTGGTGTGGTTTGTTATTAACAAGGAGAAGTAACCAAAAAACCAGCCAGCGGTGAAGAAGAATAGACTTGAAGAAGAAAGGAGTGGTTGAAACGAATGCGTTCACAGAACTGCAAATAGAGAAAGGAAACAAGAAGGAGGGGGAAGAGGCTTGTGTAGAAGATAATGAGAGAGAAGGTTCTTGGAGACGGGACGAGACTAGTTATATACCATCAAACTTCTTCATGAGCGTGTAGCTAATTTGGGATAAACTCGAGATGACACAAACTAAGCTTTGAGCTTGAGCTTCACGGCGGCGATCATACACCGTCTGCTACGACGTGGTTTCCAGAGGAGGCAAAGTTGGTAAGCTCTGAGGCTCCTCCTAGCGCGTAAACAACCTGGGGTTGCACACAATGCTTCAAGATGTTGGTCATGTTGGTGTTAGTTGACGGTTTGGGGCTTGATGAGACTGTCCGAAGTCCCCAATTGGCTTAGCCTTGACGAGAACTCGGGCCCCGTGTTGCATCCAGTTCACCACGGACGTCCGAAGCATCGGGGGTCTCGGATGCGTAGATCCCGTCTCCTCGTCAGAACTCGGATACCCCATAGTACCCGGAGAGACCGGTAGAGTCGGAGCAAGAACTCATACTCGTTCATTTCTCTGAAAGTGACTTTTATTCTCGCTCAATGTCATAGGCTAGGTGCTTCCATTTAATCGCGATCCAGTTCCAGCGCAGAAGTGGGTGAACCCAACAAAGTCAGCCCAACAAATGGCAATGGCGACAACAACGAGGCTGGATGAATATTGAGGGCTTGGAGCGATGATTGAATCCTAGCTCGCTTATTGTTGTCGGAACTAAAGGCTTCCGGTTTTTTGGGAGTTTCGATTACTGGTCGCTTAGCCTGAAGTTGGAGATCAAACAAGGGGCACGGAGCGCTGAGACATGGTCGAAACCACCCCGGTTTGGGTCGCTGACGGCGATACGGGCGGCTTGCCGTAACCCCAAGCGCTGCTATTTTCAATAGCCGACTCTAATATGGGGGATATATGTGATTCGGGGTTATGAACGCTCAGAGCCAAGCCCATGCCAAGGTGCGCCATCAGTCAACCGGGTGATGGATGTCGGCCCGCTTAACGAGCCAAGGCGGAAGGCGAGATTCTTGGAGTCGTGACATGAAAGCTTGTTCATTCAGGCGGTTCGTTTCTTTCTTCAGGCCAGACCAATAAGTCGTCAATCGAGAAAGGACTGCCCCTGCTGGCGGCTGCTGGCGGCGTTTCTGTACTAGACAACCCAGATCCAGTAACAGATCCGTCCCAAGATGAGAAATCAAAGTCACATTCTAGACTTCTCATGTCCAGGCTGTCAAGCCAACTTATTTCTCCGTCTGGTAGTGACTCTTGGGCCTGCTGCCCCTGGCGCTGTACCCGCAGGTACTCTGTCGGCGTCACTCCGACACACTTCTTGAAGACTCGGTGAAAGTGCCACTTGGAGAGCCCGGTCTGCTTAGCCATCTGACTCAAACTTAGCCTGGCCTCCGTATCGTCATTGTTTTCTGCACGTTGTTGCACAAAGTCGCGGATCTTTCGCACGGCCGCCTCCTCAGGCATGAGCCCCGCCACCTCTGGCTTACACCGTTTGCAAGCCCGGAAGCCAGCCTCCTGAGCGTCGACCCCAGTCGCAAAGAAGGATACGTTGGCGCGGCGGGCTAGGCGAGCTTTGCAGATGGGACGGCAGAATATCTTTGTGGTACGTACAGCGTATACGAAGAAGCCGTCGGCGTTGGCGTTGCGGGAGACGACAGCCTGCCAGCGAGACTCGTCATCTTCAAAGAGGGAAACAATATGGGAGAGCTGTTGCATCTCCATCATTTCAATAGTGTCGATGAATGGAAATATCATCTTGAATTAAGATGTAGGTTGCAAAAGATAAAGTTGAGCCAGTAGGTAGGTAGACCTCTCCAAGGTGATGACGGGAAGGAAAAGTGGACCGTTGCTTCCAATATGACCAATGACACGAGGCCTACCCTGAATTTCATCGCCTCTTTGTAAATATTGAATCGCGTGCAACTGAACAAGACTTAATATTGATATACGATGAAGCTGTTACATATTATGATTAATTTCTTTATGTAGGTATCATGAACAGTTGGGAGAGGGACATGTTGAAGGACTTGCTATGAGCTAGTGCCACAACTTCTTGATCACCATCCTTGTGTTTGCGGAGTTGGCGAGACTTCAAGAAGAAACATAGCTTAGAAACTCACCTAATGGCATATCATAGACAAGTTATTAATTTTTATCTCTAGCATGCTTTATCTTAGAAATCCCATAGTTGCAGGGCCTGAATGCTCTTCCTTCAAGAGCGTGTCTATCCCTCCATCGGGTAGTATACCAATTCATGAAACACTGCACGCCCGGCCAGAGCTCTTTTACTAAACCAGGTACTACCCAAGCTCCCTTGTTTCTGATAACACTCTCATGGATGATAATCTGTAGCTCATGGGGTATAGAAACAGCGCTGTAATAATGAAAAAAGGGACATCATGGACATCATGACACCTTATCAGCCCACATCACTAGACAACTTGGTATAGAACAACACTCCGCGAAAAGACAAGTTTCTCGATCAGGCATTACTTCTTTGTATTGCTAAAAATTTCGTTCATTCATTCGTTCTATTCTTTATTTGGATATCTAGTGCCCTCATGACAGCCGAATAGCAACAGACTTGCTCTGTGTGTAGTTGGCGAGCGCAGCCTCACCAAGTTCCCGGCCAATTCCTGATTCCTTGTAACCTCCGAAAGGAACAGCATGATGAAGAAGGTTGTAACAGTTGACCCAGATTGTGCCAGCGTGAAGAGAGTTGGAGAATCGGATGGCGGTGCTCAGGCTCTGGGTGTGAACGGCGGCGGCGAGGCCGTATGGGGTATCGTGAGCGAGAGCAAGAGCCTCCTCTTCGTCCTTGAACTTTGCAATCGCGCAAACGGGTCCAAAGATTTCTTCTCTCATAATCTTCATGTCGGGTCGAACGTTGGTGAAGATTGTTGGCTCGATAAAGTAGCCCTTGTCTCCGTGACGGCCGCCGCCCGTGAGAACTGTGGCGCCCTCTTCCTTTCCGAGGTTGATATAGCTCATGACACGCTCATATTGCAGACCGCTGACGAGAGGACCTTGGAAAGTTTCCTCATGGAATGGGTCTCCGACCTTGTTCTCCTCTGCCCGCTTCTTGAACGCCTCGATAAACTTGTCGTAAACACCTTCTTGCACCAAAACTCGGCTGCCGGCGCAGCAGATTTGGCCGTGGTTGAAATAGATTCCAAAGTTGACCCAGTCGACGGCCTCTTCGATGTTGGCATCGTTGAAGATGATGTTAGGCGACTTGCCACCCAGCTCAAGAGTCACCTTCTTGAGGTTGGAGTCGGCGGCAGCCTTCATGATCTGGCGACCGACCAGGGTTGAGCCGGTGAAGGCGACCTTGTCGATATCCATGTGAGACGAAATGGCGGCACCAGCAACTCTACCGAGACCGGTCACCAGGTTGAAAACACCACGGGGGAAGCCGGCTTCCTTGATGAGTTCCGTAAAGACAAGTCCGGACAAGGGGGTTTGCTCGGCAGTCTTCATCACGATGGTGTTGCCAGTTGCCAAGGCAGGGCCAATCTTCCAAGATAGCATAAGAAGGGGAAAGTTCCAAGGGATAATCTGTCCGCAAACGCCAATCTGCCAGTTTGTTAGTTATGGCGATCATGTACCAAGATGCTGTGACTTACAGGCTCGGATCGTGTATAGTGAAACATATCGGGGGCAATGTCGATGGTTTTACCCTCGATCTTGTCAGCCCAACCGCCGTAGTATCGCAGACAACCGACAACGGCGTCAACGTCACCACGGGCGTTGTTGATCGACTTTCCATTATCAAGCGATTCAACAGCGGCGAGAAGCTCCTTGTTCTTCTCGGCCAGGTCGGCCAGCTTGTACAAAAGGTGAGCCCTTTCACCGGGCGTTGTGCCCTTCCATGTGTTTTCGAACGCCTTTCGAGCAGCCGCCACGGCGAGGTCGACGTCCTTCTCGGTGCCTTCGTAGACGGAAGTGATGACTTGTTCGTTCGAGGGGTTGATGACTTCGAACTTTCTCTTGTCGACACTCTCGACCCATTCGCCATCGATGAACCTAGTGGGGGTGAGTCACTGCTCTTTGAGGAGAGTTTCCTAGGAATTATCCATAGACTGGGGATAGACTGACAGGCCAATGGGTTGGTCGTATGGCCCGGTGACCGGGGTTTCGAGCTTGACGGTCAGGGTAGCCATTGTGATGGATTGGAGAAGAGTCGGGGTATAATTGAATAGGTATGACTCAAGTCCAAGTTGATTGATATAAATATTCTCAAAGACCCGCCAAGAAAGAACGAATGGGTCTCATTTATAGTTGAGTGAGCGTTCTCGCAATCTTCAATCTCTCCGCACCAACGGAACTTGACCGGTAGATACACGTAACACCCCGGCTCCTAATCGCATTCTACCTGCCAAGGTTGATGATGATATATGTCAGCACCAGTGAGAGCCTCACGGCTCCATCCACTTGAGCGGCATTCCATGTTGCAACAGAATGTCGAAGCCCGGGTCCGCAACACCGGGTCCGCATCTCGGACCCGCGTCCGCAAGATCCACGCCGGATGGCTCATCGTATGCCAGTGACAGACTGCCATTGATTCGTTTCCCCAGGTTTCTGAGGGGCCCCGGCGAGTCTATTTGGGCTGGAGCCGCGTCTTGTTTCGCCTCCACGGACTCGCCTTGATCAGCTGATGCAGCGAAACGGCTCTCCCCACTGGGGACTGCCGGTCTCGCCTTAGATCGCGCACAATCCCTGTCCTTGTATAAACTCTACCTGATCTGACTTGTCTGTTGAGCAGGGTGGGTGGTTGAATCAGTAGCTGCCGTCTGTCCGAAGAATGCGCGTTGATCATGTTGCAGCGAGCGTTGATTGACGAGTCAAGTAACAAGGAAGACTTATGCAACCCGCTGAACTAGTAATGCGTTGCATTCAAGGAAGACCACCTATCCAGTAATCTTGGCTATTTTACGTATTGCTACCTTGCCAAGGTCAAGATAGGACAAAGACAATACCACATCCCAAGGTGCTCCGAGGGCTTCAAGGGCAGGAATACTAGAGCAAAAGTTGCAATAGAGAATTTTAGAAGATTGTCTATTATGATAATCTGCGCTTTTGATGTGTTACCTACCTATCTTGCATGCTGCAGCATTCTGAGGAGTTCGAGGGGCATTGTCTCATTTATTCTTGACCGGCCTACGGTCAAGCCGATCGCAGTCAATGCGGAAACAGTGGTTAATATGGCCAGTGGTAGTCTATTCAAGCACGCGGACATACAAAAACCTAAGACACTAGAACGAGTGCGCTGAGTCGAGTCAATAAGGAGTATTCGCTTTATAGCCTAATTACGAGCTAATTAAGAGATAATAATAGGAGATAATATCATAAACATTTAAATGTTTTATTTATCGTATAGTGACAAATGTAACGTGCCTTACTCAGCCATGACATGGAAGTTGGCTGTGTCCATGCCAAGTGCAATCAGGCTCTCAGTCAACGATCCTGAATGGTGCACATTCTACGGATATGCATGCCTCATTTCGTGGACCAATAAACATCCATGAATGCTGATACAAGCGATTTTGCTCAGGCGCACTCCAGGGCTGACATTCACCCTTGTTGGATCGAGGCGCATTTGCAGTGCACTGCCCACCTGTTTTCTGTTGAACTTCAGCCCCCGAATAACTCTTCGAGTTTCACACAACTCTATCTAGGCATCATCGGCCTTTACTACTCCATCATATTGGGGTGACTTTTTATTTGCCGCGGAAACTCAGCACTGTGCTCTCGCCGCCGCCATGGAGGCCATAGGCGTTGGCGCCAATGTCCTGGCCTTCGTCGTACTGGGCATCAAGTCGGCAAAGCTGGCCCATGACACACTTTCCGCGATCAGTGACGGCCCAGCCCGTGTGCGGAACCTGGCAGCCGATTTCCTCCAGCTACATTGGATCCTTGAGCAGTTACTTCAGTGTCGCGCTGCGGAAACTGACACGGCCCTGCATGGCCAGGCTCGCCAGTGCTGTGAGACTCTTGGCAAGTTAGCAAAGACTATCGAGCGACTCCAGGTCTCTCCCGGGGAGAGAGCCACTGGAAGGTTCTGGAAGCGTTTGAAAGCTGCCATTAGCGAAAGCGACCTGGAGAAGCTCGGTCCATGGGTAGCTCAGCAAACCAGTATGCTCAGCTTGAGGTTGAATGTGCTGTCAAGGTAAACATCTTTGGCTAATAGTAGACTACATTGACTGACGTGGGCATTATTAGCAATGTAATTTATGCAACGAGAGATGGGAATGAGAAGATCCAGCAACAAATTCATTCATATAGGGACGCAATGGAGACCCAATTCGTGACGCAGACGGCAACCATCCAAGGCGCTGCTCAGAGCATCATGAGTAGCCACAACGATGGAAGAAGTGCCCTTGAGGCAGGCCTGTCATCTATTCAACAAACCATCGAAGCCACTCATTCTATCTCGTCCGGAAATACCCAATCTATGTTCCAGATACTCAAAGAGATCAAGGATTGCATCATTCCTGAGTCCAAGCATAATCCGGGGATGAACAATTCGAGTGGTGACGATGAGAATGCTATGGATGAAGACGCTCCAGGATTGGATCAGAAGCTGCTGGACAGCATCGATAGCCTTTGCGGCTTAATTGACGAGAGAAGGGATGCCGTCGACGCCTACGAGGAAGACGACGACCAGGCCCAGTCTGCGATCGAGAACTTGGAGGGGCTTATACAGAACCTCCGGGGGCAAAAACTCACCGTTTCAGATCCAAAGTCATTTGGTAGTGACTTGGCTCGATTTGGTAAATGGTTTGGGTCAGGGGCTTTGTCTATCAACTCGGGAGGTATGTTTCTGGACCTGCAACAAGAGCTTCCTCGTGCTCGTTTCTGACTACCTATAGTTGAGAGTTCTCGAAGGCCCCTCACCCGCATTGTAGAACAGACACACAGCTATACTGAAGCAAACATTGGAGCTGGGAAAATTCATCTTATGGTCCAGAAACGGAAGCGCGCAATAGGCGCACCTGACCAGGACGACGACACCACGAGAGCAAGAAAGCGATGCCATCCCGATTGGATGATGAAGCTTGCTTTTGTTCCTGGTAAAGGACAGAGTCGCCACATGCTATTGGCCTCATTAACACGGCAGGGACTTTTCACAAACGGCATGACATGCATATCTAGACTGCAGATTAATCGAGTTTTGCCTGCAGGGTCGCTGGTCTTCGATGTGGTAAGAGTAGGCGACCTTGAATGGTTAAAGGAGATGCTGCAGGACGGTGAAGCCTCTCTCCAAGATCATGACGAATATGGCGCTTCACTGCTCTTCGTAAGTAAGAGGCATGATCTCTCATTAGCCAAAGCTAATAAAAGAAATTTCAGTATTCGTTAGAGCATCCAGAGGTGTGCAGGTTTTTAATCGACAGTGGACTCGATGTTGATCATATCGGGGGTATCCCCGGACTTCCACAATTCCAGGTGTAAGTTTGCTTAAGTTTACAAGAATCGAGGCCACATGTTAATTTAGATGATTAAATTCTAGGACAGCACTACAGACACACCGCCGGAATGATTTTGAGACGGAGCCTGAAGAGTTGCGGCCGGTCATGGAGTCTCGCCGGCTTCTGCTACATGCAGGCGCTGACCCATCCTTGAATATGGGCGACGAAGAAAACTTTCTTGACGACGCGATTAGACAAAATCTCCACGTACGAAGTCGGCCCCGGTAGATGGATCATTCAAGCTAATATTAGCACAGGAGGTAATTAAATTGGCCTGGAATCCAGAATTCGTCACGCCGTTTGCAAACATCAAGACGTATCGCACCAACAAATATGGGGAATCTCCGTTCCTTTCAGCATGCAGAAATGTCAATAATGGCTACAACTGGCAGTCTTTCCATCAACTACTCGAATTCGGTGCGGATCTTGAGGATCGAGATGAGGATGGGAGCACTTGCCTCCATCTATGCATCCAAGATTCGCGTCCAATGGGTGGAGACAAATTCTTGGCTGAGTTTGAGGCTATCCGGTACCTTGTGCGGGAAGGCGCAGATCCACGTGCCGTTGATAAGAGTGGAAGATCCGTCTCTGACATTGCCTATACTACAGGTGGGGAATGGGGGATAAACTGCAGCTATTTTGGTGATCTCTGGGACGCGGTATTGCACAGCTGCGGTTACGACATTGTCCAATTTCGCTCGGGATATCGACGCAGAGCGATGTACACCACACCAGCCCACAATCAAAAGGCGAACCGGATATACAACCGCCAGGCCTTTGAGAGCTTATGGAAAGGGAGAGAGGCAGAATGTCCGTACTGGGACGATAAACCCTGGCCACCCTTGGGACCGGGGGAGGAAGACAGCGATGACGAATCTCAAGATCACGAGTGCACATGCCGGTGGTGTTCGGAATACTACCGTGATGCGGACGACGAGGAGCCCGAATCAGGTTTGGAACTCGACACAGAAGAAAACGAGGAGGAAACAAGCTCGGATGATGGAAGTGTTAGAGTCTGTCCGCATCGCCTCTACGTGGATCAGGGTGAGGGACAGCTAGAATCGGACAGGGGCCACGTGGAAAGCTATTGGGAAGAGACAGACACATTGCCTGACTTTGGGGAGCTGATGCAAGGCATACCGAGTGAGAACTGGCAGGACTCCCCTGACCCTCAACACTCGATTATCGGCACACCTCAGTCACTCAGTATGGATCTTGAGAATCCTTGGCTTTAGGGAGTCTCGGGTCGATCAAAAAGAGTAATTATTGTTCCGTACAATCCTAACTTACAGCGGCCACTGTCGATATGCAGCCGATAGCTAAGGTATCTATACCCTTGGTACTGATCCCCTTAAGCTCCAAAAAGTTTCAACCCCACTCCATGCCTTGTCCATCATGTCATACATTGTCCATTATGCCTTATCCCCCATATCTGTCTCATCCCTCATTCCTCGTCCCTCAACTTCAACCTTGACCCTGTTACGATTCCACTTTGATATCACCACCTCACTCCATGTAAAAGACCACAAAAGAAACTCATGCTGCGCTTCACTTGGAAGCATGCCGCTTGCTGGACCCATCACGGATGGGGGTGCCTAGGGTCACGATGCTAGACCCCGGGTTGGACGAGCCTCTGGGCGCAGGCGAGGGGCTGGGAGGTGTCGCACGAGGGGGACAACCAAACATGCTGTACCAGTCCTCCCCCTCCGCCTCCGAGTCTGGAGCCTCAGGAGTGCGGGGGCGTTCTGGCATAGGCTGTGCAGCTGGCGCGGGGATCTTGGCCTGTGGAGCTTCTCTGGTGTTTGTCTCATTGGGTTGGTTTTTCTGGCCGGCTGGAAGAGTTCGAGGGTGCTTAAAGGGAGAGAAATGCACATCATCGGCTGCTGCGGCCGAGCGGCTGACGTTGGAGGCCACTCGGGCTTTGTTGACTCTTGCCATTGCGGCGATCGACTCCTCAGCTGTGCCCGGCTGGCACTCAAAGCGAGCTACCGAGTGGGGGTAGATTTGAGTAGTGTAGCCGTGAGCAGAAAGACCCTGGGTAGAGTTGACCTGAGTAGAATAACCCTGAGCAGACTGACTCTGAGTAGCATGACCCTGAGTACCATAGCCTTCGATAGGAGAACTCTGAGTATGGTAACCTTGAGTAGATTGACCCTGGGTATCGTAGCCCTGAGTGCGGTAGCCTTGGGTAGAGTGGCCCTGAGTGTACCCCTGATGAGAGTTAGCTTGGTCAGAACGACCCTGAGTGGACTGGTCGCGAGGAGAGTGGCCCAAGGCGTCTCTGGCAACACTGCGAGGCTGCCCCCGAACAGGCGAGAGGTCAACCAAACCATATTCTCGCACAAACTCTTTGTGAGGAGTGTAGCCCACAGGAGGGGGGCTGACAAAGATGGGAGAACTCAGGGTGGTGACGACTCGAGGTCTCAGCTGAGCCGGCCCGGCTGGGTGAGCGGGCCGCAACATGGCGAGGCTCGTGATGGGCGACTCAACACTCTGGTCTCGACCCAACTGAGGACTATCATCAGCATACCAAGAGCCTCCGGGTGTTGCATTGGTAGCAGATGGGGCGTAGTTTGACCCAAGGGGAGACGTGGACATCCGAGGACGCTTCGGAGCAGGTCCCCATGAGGTGGCGGGGAGAGAACTGCCCGGGTCAGATGCAAGAGAGCGTCGACCAGAAGATGAGGGGGCAGGTCGCTTGTTGGTAGACTGTTCATAGGCAGAAGAGGAAGATGGATCCTGCGAGTAGCCAAGAGAGCTCTGGGCCGAGTTCTGGGGAGTAACAGCTGCCTGGGAAATCACAATCTCGTCATCACTCTGAGAGGGGGAAGAGTTGATGTAGGAGATGTCAGAAGTAGGCTCAGACTGTCCTGGATTGCCACCATTGCCTTGGGCACTTGGAGACCGGTTGTAGTGGTGAGATTCAAGAGAATGGCTGTCCTGACGAGAGCCCGCAGGTTGATTGTCGTGATGAGAATCCGAGGACTGGTTGCTTCGACCAGAACCTGAAGAGGGCTCGTACGAACGGTCAGAGGAGTTCTGAGCGGAATTGTTGGGGGTATTGTAAGGGGTCGCCGGATACTCCGACGGAACTAGGTCGACATCGTCTTCAGAACCGGGCGACTGATCGTTGGGGGGCAACTCCTCATGTTCAGTCTGAGCTGGGACGACATGGTTCTCTTGGGGACCGGGTGACTGATCACTGTGGTAAGGAATCTCGTCATGTTCACAATGAACCAAGTCGGCAAATTCCTCGTCAAAATCAGGCGACTGAGAACCGTAGTGATGAGACTCAGCATGCTCAGGCTGGGCCAAGTCGGCGTGGCCCTCTTGAAGGCCGACTGACTGACCGTGGTGGTGAGGGGTATCCGTATGCTCGAACCGAGCTGAGTTGATACGAGCCTCCGCCTGTTCAAGCTTAACATATCCAGCATGGTCCGCTTCAACACTAGGCAAAAGAGCACCGTGGTGGGTAGACCCAACATGCTCAGGCTGAGCTGGGTTGACCTGCTCTGGTTGATTGTTGTGGTGGGTGGGCTCAACGCCCTCCATCGGGTCAACACTCGGGAGGCGAGCGGTAGGCAGCTCGGCGGGCTCAGGAGAAGCATGGACTTGCTGAGAAGCTTGATGAACATTGCCGCGGAAGGTCTCGGGCGTCATGCTGTCGATCCACTTGGTGAGCAGACCGGCAATGTCATCGCTGTTGGTCTCGAGGAACATGAGGTGTCCGTTGCCAAAGATCTGGTTCTCGTCCAACTTGATCCACTGAACAGGAACTCCGGCCTGGACCATGAATGCGACGGTCGTCCAGTCATACGTGGTATGGGAGCTCGCGTGAGCCGTGACGACGGCTTGAGGGACCTTTTTGAGGTTCATGAGCTCGCGAAATCGAGTAAGGCCTGACATTTCATGTTGACCGGTCTCATGATTGAAGATGATTTCGTCTTCGTGAAGGTTGCGCTGCAGGTAGCAAGTGCCTTTGGTGTCGGGTCTCATTCGCTCTACAAGGTCAAGAGGCATCTCATGATCAGAAGGCAAGATGGTCCCATGGAAATTGGCTGGGGGATCATAGGTGAGGGTAATGTCAGTCAGACCGTAGACCCGAACTCCCGGAACGTGGCGTACGATCTGAGTGAAGATGCGGTGGCCGTTTACTGGCGTACGGATCGTTGTGCCGAATGGAGGGCCCGTGGGCTCAATGGCGATGACTCCGGCTACGAGATCGGGCTCGACGTCGGTGGCCAGCCAGGCCATCATGCTTCCGGTGCCCTCGCCGATGAGAAATGCCTTTCCCGTGTGCTTGAGGAGCTCTTGGAGAGAATCCTGAGCTAAAGTCTGACGTTGAACCTTTTTCAGGCAGATTGGAGTCAAGCTAGCATAGTAGTTGGCGAAATAGGGGTCATCATGGTGAAGACCGGACTGTGAATAGTTAATACCATCCCCTCTTTTAGGATAATATCTACTTACCCCTGGCCACTTGTCGTGGAACTTTGCCGCCGGATACTTGATTCTGGGGTTGGTCGCAGTCACCTTTTCGGGGGCTGTGAGCTCACTCTCGACGGTCTGAATCGACATGGAGTGGTAGTAAGACGAATCGCAGTGCGAGACTGTGACAGAGTTGGATCTTCCACTGGGAGGCATATCCACAATGTAGACGGTGAAGCCTTGTCGGAGAAAGTAAGAGGCCCATCCAGGTTGGCCATCTGGCTTGGTTGTCTAGACCTGGCCGGTGTGGTAGTCTCCATGGATGAGGATAATGGGGAAAGGGTGAACAGTCTCTGGCGGGGTGAGGCGTTCGACATACATTTGGCCGACCATGTTGGAAGCCGTCGCCAAGTTACAGCCCAGTTGCCAGTCCACATGAATGTGGAAGGTTGTTCGAACACATTCGGCCTCGGGTCGAATGGGCTCCCTTGCCAGAGGGTTGGTGACCACAAGCCGGTCATAGCTGACGACAGGTTGGACAGGAGCGGGAGCATCCTCGCTCGGAGCCTCTCTCTCGGCGATACCGCTAGAGATGGGCATGTCTGGGTTTGGATCGTGGTCTGGATCGTAGCCCATGAAGGGATCTCCAAGGAGACCTGGATGTCTGTGTCGGAAGGGCAGACCAGACATGATGCTTGACGCGTTTGGCAAAAGTGCTCAAGTGCCTAGATCTGAATTCAAGATGTCATACAGGCCTGCTAGAATGTCTTTTCTGCTTTTCGAGACGCATGAGTATGATGATCTGAAGGAGAAGCGGGGTGAAGAGGTGAGGGGTGCGAGAAGAGGGGAAAGGCAGGCAGCAGGAGAAATCCTAAAAGAGTCCACGCGACTTACCGAATAGCTGTAAATGCTCGTGATATGAGGAAGAGAGTGACTCTATTGTGATCGAGAAATAATCTTTGCAGTGAAAGAAGTGTATGCCTCGACGTGTCGATCACGCGGAGAGACGAAGTGTGATGCCGCGTCGCGATGCAAAGAGAGGCTAGGGTAAAAGGAAAAGGGTAGAGGGGGAAAATAAAAACAAAGGGAATAGTGCGAGGCCCTATATTTTTTCAAACCCTAATCCTCGGTCGTTTGTGGCCTCGTCGCAGTTCGTCGAGCTTCGAGTGTCGACCAGCCGGCAGGGCAGTGTTTGTTGTCGGGACGAAGAAGGGGGGCGTGCTTGTTTGCCTGAGGATGATGGGGGGCGTGATGCTAGTCCCAGCTGCGGATGATTCTAGATGAACACCACGCAGATGATCTTTCCTACCCTACGATGCGTCGGATGGAGAGATACTGATTCAGCGAGCTTCTGTGCTTTGCTTAAAAAGATACGGGAGATGGCATGGGAGTTGCAGCGCAAGCAGGTGGATGACAGAAACGTGTTTCACCAGATGTTGCATATTTCGACCGCTCTAACGAGCTGAATGAACTGTCAAGCGCATGGCGTTGGTCGTTGGACGCTGTCCGTCGTCCCATGACCTTCTTGATATGATCAGTCAGAGTGGCTAACAAAAAGCATGCATGGTGATGCGTCCCAGCCGGTCGATAGATCACCTTGGAAGAGGAGCTCACACCCATACTTACAAAGGATTTCATTTCGTCTACTGTGCAAAAATACATTCACAGAGGCAAAGAGAAACCAGAAAACATAGTATTATCCCAATATGCCATGACGTCCCTCACCCCCTTTTTCCATGTTCATGTTCACTGGCATCAATCAGCCCGATGATGACCCCACGACATCTTTCGATGCATCCTCCTTCTTCACATCACCCATGGAGACATTCTCATCGTGGGATGTCGCTGGGGCTGGGCTAGAATCCTGTCGAGGTGCGTCATTCGGAGATGGTTCCCTTCGGGCGGCTTTTCGCCGCTTCCACAGATCACACAATTTTTCCAACGCAGCATCGACAGCCTTGATCAGAAGACGATTGATAAAAGTCTCCGCGAGCTTGCCGACGACCATCTCCAGTAGCCCGCCGAGCAAGCAGGAAATGGTGCACATTGGGGAGTTTGTACCTTGGTGGTGTGGGTAGAGCGAAAACTGGTCGACTCTCTCAGGTGGCAGATTTTCTGTTGGGGACTCGCAAGAAATGTATGCGAGTGTTTCTTTTGGTAAATGGTGCTTTATTGAAAGATTATTCGTAGGAGGAATTGCTCAGTTGTGTGATATCGGCAAGATGCTTGCTTTGCTCTCGAACGGAGCCTCGGGGCTGCCAGCTCATTATATACTCCAAAACTCCAGACTTGAGCACAAAGACAACCGAATGTACAGGATTAAACTCTGAACAAGCCTCTTGTTCACTCGGATTTCGCGTTCTGCGAAGCATGAGTTCGGTGTATAGCGCTGTACCAAGTCAAGGTCAAGGCCACAGCTCTTGTTTTGTAGCCTACACGTTAGCTGAACATGAAATCGCCTTTGTTCCAGTGAAAGAAGCCTTGGGACAAGTCCTTTTGTGTCATTTTACATTCCTACAACGATATGTTGTTGACTTGTCCAGGTCCCCTGAAAGGCTAGCTGCACCCATCTCCGGCCGTCCACGGAACAATACAGCCCATAGGGCAACTCGGCACTCGATCGTAGACTCCAAACTCATCACTCGTGCATAAAATCCATCGCCTCAAGGCGAAGATGGCTCCGGGGCATCATCCTTCATATCCGGAACCCACCCCTTGGGTCTCTCACTCCCTCTGACAACGAGCCCGTACCCCAGCTTCTCAACCTTCTTGACGCTCTGTCGCATAGCGCCCATCTTTCCTCGCCAGTCCTTGGTTGGGACGTCTGGTAGAATCTCGAAAGCGCAGCCGAGCTCTTGGATGTCACCCATAATGTTTCGGTCCTCGACGCCAGCCAGCTCACCAGTCTGCGCCGTGGTCACAGTAGCAAACCGCATCAGTTCGCCAAAGAGATCGAAAACACCATACATGTAGTCATTTGGCGTCAGCAAGAGGTTAGCCGGCATGGCCTTTTGTGTCTCCTCCGGCGTGATGAGCTTCTGATGGCGGAGGTAGTGGGCGAATGAGAGGGCCTCGACAAACTCCTCCAGGCATCGCAAGGGCGACGTGTAGCGGTAGCGGTTGACTTCCTGCAGGTCAGGAGCGATGGCTTTTAGTAGCTTGGTGATCTCGGCGAGGCGCGTGTCCATGTCTTGCTGGATGTTGGGGGGGAAATCCTTGTTTAGCTGCTTGACTCTATTGAGATGTGAGCTGTCATGCTTGAGATTGGTTGGAGGCTGGCTGACCTTTGGAGGGCAAAGATACTAGGTCGATTAGCATTTGATTGTGATTATTTCAAGTGAATGGGAAATAAAACTCACATCTTCTTACTCTGGGCTGTAACATCTCGCGAAGCCTTGACAATCCTCTCCCGTCGATCATGGTGTTCATCAAGCTCATCGCGAAAGCCCTCAAACATGTCATGAAATCTTCCTCTCGGCTGCTGTTGCTTGTATCCAGGGCCCTTGGCACGAGCGTTGCCGTCGCGATCTCTCTTAACGCCGCTCGACATCTTTTTTTCGTGCTGGTTGGTGATGGTGACGATGATGCTGGAGGTTGGTTTGAATCAAGTGCGGGCCTCTGATTTGCTGATGTGGGGTTGGGGTTTGGCAGGGATGGGGAGCTCACCTACCGCTGATGAAATTGTTAGCTCCCGCTTCCGCGTCTCGATTTGGATCCTCATTCACCACATTCAGAGCCACCATCAGCAATAGGCCACAATACCCGACCCGGACATACATCTCCAGCTTCAAATCGCTTCAAATCTGTACAATAAGAGTCTCTCCTCTCTCGCAATGACCCTAGCATAGCACAATAACACGTCCTGACCTCCCAATCGCTCCAACACCTCATCGCCAACTGGCCTCATCTCACACCTTCAAAAATGCCCTCCATAACGCCCCTCCTCCGAACAACCCCCCTCTTCTTCATATCACTCCTCCTCCGCCTCATCCTCCTCTTCTACGGCCTCTACCAGGATGCCCACTCTGCTCTCAAGTACACAGACATCGACTACCTAGTCTTCACCGACGCCTCACGCTTTCTTGCCTCAGGCTCAAGTCCCTATGACCGCGACACCTACCGCTACACGCCCCTGCTAGCCTGGCTTCTACTCCCGACTGTCCGCTTCTCTGCTTTTGGCAAGCTGGTCTTTGCCGCAGCGGATTTACTGGCAGGATGGCTCATGCTGCGCGTTCTTAGGCGGAGGGGCATGGATGAGGCAACGGCCGGAGGCTTCGCTGCGTTGTGGCTCTGGAACCCCATGGTGGCTACTATCAGCACGAGAGGGAGCTCAGAAGGCTTGCTGGGAGTTCTAACCATGAGTCTTCTATGGGCTGTTGAGCGGAGGAAGATCAGCCTCGCCGCTGTCATTCTGGGGCTTTCCGTCCACTTCAAGATTTATCCCTTCATCTACGCACCCGCTATCATCTGGTGGATGGACGACGAACGCCTGGGAAAGCCTACAAAGGCTACCTCTAAGCCATCATTTCTGGTTGATACACTCACAAAGTTCTGCTCGCCAGAGCGTGCCAAGCTTGCCCTCATCAGTTTTGCCACATTCATGGGCTTCAACCTCCTCATGTACTCCATGTAAGTCCCCAACTTGGCCTGTCCTCCTTCAAGTCAACTCACTCTTTCTAGCTATGGTACACCATTCCTTGTTCATACATACTTCCATCATGTCTCCCGGATTGATCACCGTCACAACTTCTCCCCCTACAACGTTCTCCTCTATCTCACTTCAGCAACACCCGCCGATGCCACGCCCTCTATCCGCATCGAGTCTCTCGCCTTCCTCCCTCAACTTCTCCTCTCTTGTGTCCTTATCCCTCTTGCTCTTGCTAAGCGTGATCTGGCAACGTCAATGATGGCCCAGACATTCGCTTTCGTAACCTTTAACAAGGTCTGCACATCCCAGGTAAGCAATTCTAGTTCCCAACCTCTAGAAACCGCACCGTATGCTAACAATTAATGTAACTAGTACTTCCTCTGGTACATGGTCTTCCTACCGCTCTACCTCCCCAACTCTTCCTTCCTACGAAACCCTAAGCTCGGCATCTCGGCTCTCCTCCTCTGGGTTGTGTCCCAGGCTGCGTGGCTGCAGAACGGCTACCAGCTCGAATTCCTGGGCGTCAGCACCTTCTTCCCGGGCCTGTGGTTGTCCTCTCTTGGATTCTTCCTTGTCAACTGCTGGATCTTGGGTATCATCATCAGCGACGGGGCCGACGTACCTCAGTCAGCTGCTTCTTCTGTCAAGGCACATCTTGAATAGGAAGCATGTCACATGCACAATGAAAGCACTCTCATACAAGACTTGGCATATTGAAAATCCATACAAAGTACATTTTTAAACAATCTCATTCGTCGATTATAGTGCCAAATCGCAAAATCGTAGAGGGTATACAGGCGAGTGCCCATGGGCTAGTTACCTTGCGTCACTCTCTGCCCATCTTCATAGTCCAGTTCTTCAGCAAATTCCACCCAACCAAGTTGTTCTCAGATTCCATGTCGACAAATCGAATTCCAGATGATTATCCTTGCGCCCCCAAACTCCCTGCAGTCCAGTCCGTTTCAGTCCAGTTCCGTCCTATCCCTGGGTATGTAGTTCACATTACGAGCTTCATTCCACCTGATTCCAAGAAACGCCTTCTGCAAAACGAAAAAGAAAGAAAAAAGCATGTCGGAAATGCTGCACAAAAATTCGAGTAGATCGTGTTCGGTCTTCGTAATCGCTCCTATAGTTGCACGTGCGTGCTCGTAGCGAGGCCCATGGCCTAGGAGGTTATTGGATGGTGATTCCCGTTGCGAGGGATCGGTAGTTGGACAGCTTCAACGATGTGATCTTGGTCTTTGGTGGCTCGGGTGTTATCACCATTCTGCCATCCTTGTTGTAGACGATGTTGCCGAACGATTCGCTCAGCTCAGCGAAGGCGGCCTCCGGACGAACGCGTCCCATCTCGGCCAAGATCCTATCACTCCAGACGCCGGAACAGACTCCATTGCGCATCAGAAAGAAAGGGTTGAGAGGAGGTAGGACAGAGTCTATATCAGGTTAGCCAAACTCATCCCACAGTAATAAAAACAACTTACCCAAATCAACGAATCGAATCCTCAAGAACACAACTTGCTTAAACTTTTCAAGAGATCGAATCGCTGACACCACCAACTTATCGAAGGCATCAATGAATCCCATGTCCTGAATTCCAGACCCCGACTCATGAAAGCTAGTCATGTGCCGGCAGCAGTTCTTGACCGTCAGGTCGATCGACTTCAGTCTCGATGTCCGAGGGTCCGTCGATCGCATCGCCATCTCGAAGAAGTGATGGCACACACGACCGGTGTATGCAAAGTGCTCCAACGAAGGCAGGGCCTCAGCCATTCTAAGGCAGATATGCGTCTTTTGCACTACCTTCGAGTAAAAGACTGGCATGACTCCCTCGCGACGGTAGTCGCTCTCGAGGCAGAGGTTGAGGTTGGTGATGTGGCGAGGCAGGTAAGGGAGGAACTCGGACATGGTGATGTAGCTCTTGGACTTTGGTTTGCTATACGAGCCCTGCCACTCGACCAGACTTGGCAGCGCATTTAGCACAGTCGCAAAATCTCGGTCATCGCGCATGAGGTTCCATTGGCCCCTGGTCACCAGAGTCTGCACTGATTCAAGAACAGTAAGAGCCTTGTAGATAGCTGGGTCAATCCTCTGCTCTGGGAAGTGTAGGACTCGAGGAGCCTTGCGACGCTCGCCTCCTTCTAGCGTCAAGACTCTTGCCTGGGGTAGGGTCTGGGCAACAAACTGGAAAACCTGTTCCAGAGTGCAATTGTTACCAGGCAGTGTGTAAGTCGCGTTCGTCAGACCTTCCATCGTCACGGTGGGGAGCGTCAGAGTGTTAGATAACGCAACCGGGCCGTAGGTGGGCTGAAAGACGGGGAACCAAATCTCGATGTGCTTGACATAGGCCTGAAGGTGGTCGTTCAAGGCAAGGTGGAGCATGGCATCCTCGAGGCAATCAACCGTCGCCTTTAGCTTGACGTGACGATAGAGTCGCTGCTGAACGAGGATTCGCCAGATGTCGCTAACAAGTGCCAGCTCAGTCAGCTCTCTTCTCCGCGAATGCCTCAGCGCAGTTCCCCAGCTCTTTGTAATGCTAGATACGGCCATCGAACTTCGCGAGGTTGCCGAGACCCGGTAGCCGAACAGGTGATCCAGAATCGCCTCATGGACCTCGATGGGTAGTTGGTTGAAGTCGGTGACGGGGCGAGGAAGGAAAATAGGCTCGTTGTCGAGGGCGGCAGGAGAGCCAGTGGCAGGCTCGTCGTCGTCGCCATATCTCGAGCCGATGAAGCAGCAAGGCTTGGAGTGTCGACGGTCGGGATGAGGAAATGGAGTGCTACTCGGTCTCGTCGGAGGGACAAAGTCGGAACCCTTGGTTTGGTCATGAGCCGGGCTGGAAGAGCCAGGTGAAACAGGGTTGGACGCAGTATTGAGGAGGCCCGTCATCATGGACGAGGCCATGATCGAGGCAAACTCGGCGTCCGAGTCTGGTTCGTCATGGGGATCGTCGATGCGGTCATTCCGCCTTGTTGAATAGCCATCTCGGATCGGTAGGAGGGCGGAGGGAGTAATGCAGGCTGAACAGGGCGAATGAGGGTCGCTATGGCCGTCATCGGCGGTATCCATGGGGTCGCCGATGGAGTCTCCCATATCGCTATCGGGTCGCGGATCAAGGTTCTCGATAAGATGGTTACAAGGCCGGCTCGTGGAGCATCGCAGAGAGGATCGACGTGGACCGCAACGGCAGAATATGGCGAGTGCAGCAAGAAAAGAGGAGTTGACGAGTCAGAGTAAAGTAAATGGGGAGAAAGAAAGCTGATGCCCAAGGCTCAAGGGTTGAAAATGAAGTCGGTTCGGTTCACAGGACACAGGCGAGAGAGACACCGAGGGGAGGGAGGAGAACAGGTGACTTTGGGGAATTGCCAGGGAGGGGAAATCGCAATAAAAAAAACAGGACCCGAGCCCAGGGGCGAGATTTGGGAAACGAAGCCGCAAATGAAGGCCGAACGAGAGGTCGATTCTTGGACACTAAAGGTAAGCGGGAGTAGAGAAAGAAAAAAACAAGAGGGAGGGAATGAGAGTCAGAATGAGTGAGAGAAAGGAGCGCGGAGGCAAGGACGGAAAGACACTGACTGAGTGTGTATGTACTGCGTACCTTAGTAGTGGGAGGCGTTAATTAGCAGCAGATGCCCCCTCTTTGATTCATCCAGTTCTTGGTCAACAACCGACGGGTTTCTCCTAGACGCCCACGCCCAGACAAGCCGGAAGGGAAGGGAAGGATGAGGGAGGGGTTTCCCACCGGGTCACAGTCGGCGGCTTGCTTGCACTGCCCGGTAGTATGATGCACTCGGGATGTGATATGCGTGGCAGAGCGAGTGAGCCTTGCTGATGGTCGGGCTGGTGCTGCAGGCGTGAGTGCTGTGTGCTGTGCGTGCTTCGCTGCGCTGTGCTTCGTTGACTGG